ACCAGAGCAAAGAAATATGGGGCATGTACCGATCTAACGTTTATTATGCTGGAGGAGGTGTAGATTTAGTGGGCTGTACAGGCGAGTAACACTGAATTTGACCTCTGCGGTGATCGTGGAGGGTCCAGTGATCGCCATCTCCCAATGATTTGTTGTTGTTCGTGAGCACAACAGTACTCGGTTGTTGGGACTGTTTATTCTCAGCAACTTACACCCCAGATGACAAACTTTCCAGTTGGGGTAGACTTGATGATCTTGGGCCTCTCTAGGCGCCCATGGGTCATGATTTGACGTCCTAGCGTGCCTTTGGTCCAGATGGTGATCAGCGTGGCTACCGATACCCAGTTTGAGCAAACCAGTCGACCATTATCAACTTGATGCCGACATTGTGTTGATTTTGTTATTGCGCACTCGCTCCATGGTTTACTGTGCTAGCTTGAATTGAGTGGATGTCGAGAAGCATTCACAATATAAAAGACTTTGAACCTGCCCGTAATATGGCGGAACAACATAACGCTTTATGATCGAGTCACGAGGGTCAATCAAGTCACACAAATGGTGAACACCGGAAACCCAAGCACGAATCTCAAGGCCCCCCTTGCTCCGACTCTTCAGCTTCCCTGTCTTGGTAAGGCTTGACACAGATTGTGGGACATTTACGCCAATGGTAACTTGGCACATTACTGGCTTGATCCTTACGCCAGCATTCAGTTAATCATTTCTAGGGCAAATTCAAGGATTAAACATCCTAAATCCACAATAATACTCACCAACTTGCCAATTGCATTCAATTCAGTGATCCAGCCACAGCCTTACGTCAAATGGAAGATGAAAATGTAGACATATGCAAAGCTTGCCACAGTTCTAGCTGCACTAGTTTTCTGTTTCGGTGCTTAAATATACTAGCCCATCTGTCCCTCGAATCGTCGCGCCTTTTGACGCCCAGTCTCTTAGGCCCAGAGCTCTCTCATCTTGATTGCAGCTCAGGGCGAGGGTGAAGCAAACAAAATGCAATACGCCGGCGCTGCTTACGCTCCGATTGAAACAGCCCGAAACTCGTCACATGATGAAGTTTTGCTTAAATCGATACCTCAAGCAACAAATGAGATTACCGAGCCGCCGAGCCGCCCAACGCGCAAGCTTGGCCACTTTCAATACTGGCTACCAGGCATTCAAATTTCACTTACAGTCTTTCCGATTTTATTTATTGGTAAGTGGATATATCCAATAAAATGAGATAACCTGCTGACCATTACTTCTGTTCTATAGCCCTTGCTGCAACTGCGATTACTTTGGACAAACAGCCAATTTCTCGTACTGGCGACACAGCTCAGTATGCGATCGCACTAGCGCCTACGATCTTCCCAATTGTCTTTGCTGCAATAGTAGGCAAGTTCTTTAGAGTCTTGGGTCTATATCTGGCCGAGAGAGGGACCAAACTCGGAGTAGGTGGATCCTTGTTCTTGATTACGTTGGTCCAAGGCGCTCGTATTGATTTCTCTAGACCCTGGAGCGGTTGATAGGATCTCATTCACTCTTTGCCGTGGTTGAGAAACAGCTTGTCCTACCCGGCCAATATCTTCTTGGACTTGGCATGATACTTCTTTGGGCGCTTTCCCCAGTCGGTGGCCAATTGGCTCTGCGACTTTTGCAGACCTCTCCGCGAGTGACGTCGGACAACTCTACGATCCGATACCTGCCAATAAGCGCATGTCTAGAGACACCAATGGAAGGCGGACCCAGCGCCAACAATGCATGGCCATTATATGGACCACTATTCATGAGTTCCCTTATCGCGTCGCGTTCACTGGAAAATCCAAAGCAAGACATGTACGGAAACGTCAGAGTACCGCAACTTGATCGGCTCATGACAGGAGATACTGTTGACAACGATACGTGGGTAGTCGTGAACAGCACCGAGGAAACGCCCTGGTCTTCTCTACTTGGGGTTCCTGTTGCAGGCGTCCCCAAAACAGGTAACCTATCCTTTAATCTCGTCAGTAGGTATTATGCCATTGATTGCGATGCCGCTGTCCACGTCGAAAACAGCACCATATTTAGCAATACTTCGTCTGGTTTAGGCGCCGGCTACTACATGTGGGATGCTAGCAGTACGTTTGCTGTCCAGTCACCAGCAGGCAGCGAGCTTCTGCAACTATGGAATGGCACCCGTTTCATATTCAATATCACTTCGGCAAACGACTACACGGGCTCCGACGTCAGCTTTACGACTTGTTCACTATCTCCTCGAGATGTCGATTCATCTGTCCTCTGCAACGATGGATCATGTCAAGTTACCGCCATGAGAAACATGACAGTGGATCTCCCTCTGTGGTGGAGTCAATATTTTTCGCCCTTTCTAATCAGTCTGCACGACTTGCCCTTGGTGACGATTGGCGCCATGCATCAAGGTTCCAAGATATCCAGCACCTTGACTGAGATGTGGATACAAGATCCCCACGCTGTTTACGACCCCGAGAAGGACCAGAAATTTGCAAACTTTTCAATGCTTTCCAAAGAAACCATCAGTCAAAACATGGAAATATTATTCAATACATACTGGCAATCGATATGTGGTTCTAGGTATCTCTTTGGAGGCCTCAGCACAAACATGAGCCTGTACGACAATATTTTCAGCTACTATGAGGGTTCGGTAGTTGTTGATTTCAACACCAGCCAAGTCACAATCACCACACCCGACGGCGACGAATACAGCTGCAACATGACTTTTGCAACACTGCTGATTATTATATCGTGCATTCTGCTTTTGGTCAGCTTGGCATCGTTTACTTTGGGAACCATGACTCTCGCACCAGACATACTTGGTTATATATCTTCGCTCACAAGAGACAATCCATTTATCCCTGGTAACGAGGCCTCGCACCAGCATGGATTGGAGCGGGCAAAGGCATTAAACAATATGAAAGTCATTGTTGGAGATGTTGATGCTGGAGCCCAGTCAGGTTATATAGCATTTACCAAGAAAACCGCCAACATGCAAAGACTGCGGAGGGAAAGATTTTATCGATAACTCTAGTGTAGTCTAACGCATTAAGTTGACTTGAGTAGATGCAAGCTGCTAAAGCGTTTGGAAGTTTGGAAAGAGAAGGGATGGAAAACATAAGGAAGAGGGGGAAAAAAAATTGTAGATACTGACAAAAGACTAACTTTCAAGTTGCACTAGCCGCGAATCGAACGCGGGGCCCATCGATGGCAACGATGGATTTTACCACTAAACCACTAGTGCCTGAACCGAAATTTGTTTAATAAAATACATCACAGTACATCAAACTCCACACTCGACTTGGAAATACTTGATGCGATTACTTGGCTATTCATGAAGATATGTCGCACTTTTGTTTTGCTAAGCACACCATCGCCATGCATATTGCCACCATAGCCCGCATAATGCATTAAGCGCCACTGTTGACTCAAGTCATTGAACTTCCGATCCAGCAACTCCAGCATTCCATTCTTCATCTGACCTGCGAAGTCTTCCCTGATTTTTTATGCCCTGATTTTTTGTTTTTCGATTGAATGTCGCAGCGCCTGTGCTGAGCTTGGCATTTCCTGAATCAGGCTGGTTTTGTTTGTTCATTTGCGATATTGAATCCTTGATCGATCGCATTGAGATACTACGACCGGATTTGTCATCCGAAGGACTGGGATCTATTCATGTAATGAAGAGTCAGCCCTAATTTCATGCTTATATAAAAGAAATTAAACTCACCCAGAACATTTTTCCACATTGACTCCCAGTACAGAGCAAGCGTCGCGAGCACAACCGTGAAGATCAGAGAGCCGCCGACTGAAGAATAGAATTAGGAACCATAAGATCAAGACTGTCTGGGTAGGGTAATCGGAAGCACATACATATGACCCCGAACACCCAACCAGGTACATTTTGGAACGACTCAATGTCCAGAGCGAATAAAGAGGTCAGAAACGATAATGGGAGCTATTGGTTCAGGGACATTTGTAAGCGGAGCAATCTGTGAGTAAAGGCAAGATGAGCGGAACTTACAAAGATAATTGTAGAGATGGTGAAAAGCATCAAAGACTTTCCTTGCCGTGCAGCTTCTTCTGCCTGAAAATTTGCAATCTGGGTTCCGGAAAGAGACAGTGTTGAATCGACCTAAAGGTCTGAGCGTTAGGGGATACGAACACCTGTTGATTGATTGAAGTTCTTACAGCTGATTGGATCCTGGCAGCGTGACTCTCCATGTCCTCGATATCATGGGAAATGAAGCGCGAAGAGAGATTTGAACCACTTAAAGTTTTGTTGTAGATCTGGCGTTGGACAGTGTTCTGGTGGTTCACAACTGATCTTAGGATGTTTAGTTCGTCGCGAACATCTTTTATTTCACTGAGTAATTTCTCAGCGTCGAGGATTGCATCCTTGGCCACCTTCACCTGTGTGCTGATATCCGATTTCCCGCCTACTTCTCGGCGAAACTCCTCAAACAGGTTTGTTTCTCTTCGTCCCTATGATTCATTAGTCTCAAAACAGTAAGTTCAAAACAACTACATACAATGAAATTTATATGATTTGAGAAGATCTGTCGCATTGACAGCTTCTCAGCCTCATCATCTTTCTGCGTGTCAGTCTTTGGCGTCAGGTCTTCCCAAACTCGCCTTCTTTCATAGAACCCTATACAGTAGTCAACCATGACTTTAATCATCTCCGAAGTCGTCGCTGGTTGAGGTTGAGTACCACCTGTGGCTAATCGTTGGTTCAAATGCTGAATAAAGCCATCGATCCAGGACTGTTCGTAGTCATCAGGTTGGTGTGATGTGGCGCTTATCAGCCACTCTGGTTATATGAATTTAGTGACAAGTAGGTCTTTGAACAATTTTTGGAATGAACTCACTGTTCGCAATAGTCCAGATCCAGATCTGATTTACTCGAAGAATCGGCCAATATGTCTTATCGGTGTCAGGTGCATCGTTTGTGGGTAAGCTTTTGTTGCTGCGCCGTAAAAAGTGCTTGGTAACGACTTGACTTCTGTTACGAGATATGCAGTCTGTTGCGACTCCAGGTTCACCCATTTCTGGTGAAAAATGATAGTATGCTTCATCAAGAGTCGCACAGCCGTGGACAGTTTGACTTCCATCGTACTTGTCAATCAGATTGCGATATTTTCCTCCGATCTCATCTATTCGTCGCTCTGCGATTTTGCTGAGAACTGGCCAATTCTCGTCTTCTTTCCGGTCTTCGCTCTTCATTGTGCCAGTGAGCGTTGAGAAAGCTAGAAATGGCATCTGCAGATCTGTGGATTAGGACGACCATATCTTTTTGATTCAAGATAAAACATGCTTACATAGACAGCAGAGCTGGCAACGAAGGGAGACTGCTTTTGTTTCTCAACCCCTTGCGTGTCTTTTCCCACAACAACTCTCCCCTCGTCTTTTGTGTCCTCGCCGACCGATGATTCGTGAATGTGTGGAGCTTCAGCTGGGACATCCGTGTCTATATTCTCGTCTCGCGTCTTGGAAGCTGACAGATTTGATCTCTCTATGAATTGCGGTCTCATGATACGAGTCTTGGAGGATTGATCTGGAATCTGGAACCACGAGGTCCGCAGAAATGATTTGACGTCTGTGGTCTCTTCATCGCTGCGAATTTCCTCTCCATCCATGAGCTTTGATGACAGATCCTATTAGATGCATTAGATATTATTTTCACACCAGATAGTCGTGCCGACCGATGCCTTCAACATTACCTCCATCCATTTGATCTTAAATAATTCATTAGATATGTCAACGATGAGTGATTGTAGAAGTACGTACATTGGTTGCGGGTAGGTGTACCCAGATGAATTTGGCAGCCGTGGGTTGCTCGCGTTTTGCGTATAATTTTGAAAGCTCTTTTGCCTCGAGTAGAAGATTCATTGGCCCTTTCTCGTAGACGACATCGTAAACATTGTGGGCGCTCTGAATAGGCACATCGCGGCCGCCATAGAATTCAGCGACGATGGCATCGTCAAATTGTCTCATAGATTCAATCTCATCCAATCCGGGATATGAAACTTTCGAATCATTCTTCCCGTGTACGCCGAATAAAAGTCCCATTGGTGGGTTATGAAGAATATGAATGATTTTTGGATCTTTCGCATTCAGAAGTTTCCTGTCGGTGCTGGCGGTGGTGCCTCCGGTAGCATCCACCTTGCGATATTTCCTCTTGAAGTGTTTGAGGGCCGCACTGACTTGATTGATGGTTTCAGAGTCTCGAGGGGAGGCCGCGATAAGTGACCAGAGTATTTGAGGTTCTCTCTGACGTGCGGCCATCTCAATAGCCGAGTTATCTGAGGACCCCCGTTCATTTTGCTGCAGAAGAAGTTTGGCAATACGGTGTCTGCCGTGTCTTTCTGCAGCCCATGATAGATATTTCTTGAGATTTCCAAGGTCTTTAGAACCCTTGGGGGGTGAAGAATTCTTTTGCAGAAGGAACTTCACGACCTTTTCCGCTTGGTCATCCAGGTCGTCTTCGGTATACACTGCGTGTTCCAGCAACTCGTTCGCGGCCTTGGATACATCCTCATCGTCCGGGTGATCCGATGGGTCTTCGAACATTTTAACAATTCCTTGCGTGAATCTGATCTCGATAGCCCATTGAAATGCTGATTTTTGTTGACTGTGAGGCTTATACCGTTGTTTGCGTTGCGGCTTGATGTCAAGCAGGGTGTTCACACAGCTCATGTCTTCGTTTTTGATTGCCATAATCAAAGGTGTCTGGCCTTCATTATCTTGAGCTAGAATATCCGCGTTTTGGTCGAGAAGAAGCTTGATGATCTCCGACTCAGACTCTAGAACAGCTGTGTGTAGAGGAGTCCTTCCTTTTCCATCACACGCCTCTTTGTTTGCCCCATGACTGATAAGTAACGTAACAACATCCGAACTTCCATAGAAGCATGCCACATGCAATGGGGTCGAGTTGTCATGTTGTTTGTTGCACCAATTGAGTATATCGGAGAGATATTCCCTAAAATCTTTTCTTATCTCATTGATCATTACTTCCATTGATCTCTTGAGACCAAGTGTACTTGCGAGCCATAGAGCACTCCCCAATGTATTTGTACGAGAACTTTCACGAATGAGTTCGTTTGTTGTGCTTTTGACTTTAATGAAATTGCTGTCGGTTTCTTCGTCCTGTAAGTATTGATCCAGGAGAATTCGCTCGAGACGCCGTCTTTCGTTGGTTTCTTCAGGTTCCTCGGGCTCGGAGCTCTGGGAGGAAGAAGTATGACTCTGATCGTTTTCTGGATCCGACTCTCGTGGGTTCATCGCAGGATCTGTTCCCTCTCCTCCAGAGTTCGTGGTGGGCCTTGAGCTTTGCATCTTGACAAGTCCAGCATGCAAGTTTTCAACACCCATCGTTATTACGAAAAAAGATGGACAGTGCCTCGGAATGATGATTCAGATGATCGAAGAACAAAATATAGATGGACTTGCAAGCTAATCAGGTGTTTCGTATATGCAATCAATGCTCAAGTGAGTTTTATGTTAGAAAGACTACCAGAAATGAAAGCGCAAGTTGGATTGCAATGAAATGCGCGAGCTTCGGTACTCTCTGGATCGCATCTTTGTACAACACTCTGACGCCGGAATCGTACAGTAGTTGGGTGCGAGCTGAGTTGCACCCGGACCTTCCATCAGCCACGTCCCACATATCAACCTCTGAAGGCGCCAATAGGGTTAATCGAAATCAAAGCTGAAAGTGCTGACATCGGCGACCTTCAATCTTTTCGGCTGTATCTTTTTCTGGAAGAGGCAAATGAATAGAGATCAGCGCACCTAAGCGGCCCTTTCCATCCTAGCACGGAAGGTATCTGCGAAATCCGTACCCATTATTCCCTGCAAGAACCAGTAGCGTTCATCGTGATGCATACCTGTGCAACATTGATTCAGGCTGAGATTTGTTCAGAAAAGTGATCGGTCATAAACACTGTTTACGCCACAAAGGTGGAGATCCCTTGAAATGAAGCAGGAGCATGTCTCGTAAGACCAGCGACACATCGCGCTGGTTGTGACCGTGACACAATCAAGAGGTGAACTCCTATCCCTTGATCTGGCGAGCACCACCCTTTTGAATTTGATCGCCAAACACGTACCTACAAGACAAGCCAATTGCATGCGCTAATTTACACCTACGGTATATTATGCGGAGAATTTAACGAAAAGAACATAAATCCGAAAGAACCTTTTTTATATAATATACAAGTTATAAACCTGATTTCAAGTTATTTCTACTAAAAATTGAAAAAATAAGCATTAGCTGTGAAATAAGAGCAAAATATCTATATTTTTTGCTGATATTATGGAACTCACTCAAGTTTTCTGGGCTTGACGTACCCAAACTGCCACATCAGGCAAGTAGGGTGCTCACCATATCAAAGAATAATCATGCAAACTTGAATCCCATTAGTGAAGTGTTAGATCTTTTTCGATATGCCACCCGTACTTGTCATGCAATGAGAAAAAGAAAGCGAAAAAGAAACAGTTACCGAGATTAGGCACCGCTCTAGGGTGCGGTACAAATTTTGATTAGTAAACGCTCAGCTATTGCTTATTGCTATTTTTATACCAAGAAATATATGAATCGTCACTGCGCTGCGTTAAAAGTCCCGCACCATGGACCAGGGTCGCATGCACGTGCAATCTTAAATACTCAGAAAATCACTCGTGGCTGAGGCTATTTGTAGGGAAGGAAGAAGAAGAAAGGTTCAAGATTGTCAAACTTCATGGGACTCCCCGGACATCTGGGGTTGCATCACTTCTGTTCGGTTCACTGCCTATGTACTGCAATCCTGATTCATGGAGTGAGAGAGCTTTCCAAATAAAGCTCAAATAACCATTGAAACAATAGAATCGGAGCTGTTTCGTGTTGGGACTCTATCGAAGCGGGGAACCGAGGATCACTCAAAAGTATTGCTCTCCTGCTGCAAATGCGTGTGATTAAAGAACAAAATCTGGCATGAGATGACTAACCAATCCAATCTTGTCAGACTATCGCAACGAACACCATGGCCGCACTCCCAATAAGCCTGCATGGATGTGAAATTATTGCGCCGTATTCATAAACACTATTAGGCTAACTCATAGTGTGGAGGTTCACATTTTGTTCAGCTAGTGCAGTGGTTTGGTGCGACAGAAATGTGACCTCCGACGGGAGAGCGCTCGCTCTTGCAAGATCCACCCACTCTTGTTCAACTTTACCTTTTCCACATCACAATGGAAATCATCGATAATTATCGGTCTCGATGACGAGATGATTTCTTCTTTGTCCTCTTGCTAGAATGCGGCGCTCGGTAACTGTTACAGCAAGCCTTCATCCGTTTGCTCATGAGAAACCAATGTAGCAGCGATGGTACCATAGGCGCCTCCGAAGTACTGTTCCATCATGTCTCCCCAATCATTTCCCTCTTGGCAGTCATGAGAACACACTCATTCCTTCACCTTTTAGCTATGGCGTTGTATGATGCAGATGGAGTCAATCCGAAGGTATCTGATAACAAACTCACGCGTCAAGGAAATGGCGTCTTGGAATGTTTTCGGCATGTCCGCAAGTTCCATGCTTAATTGTCGAGCAGAGATGTTGCATGGAAAGGTGGCAAAATAGTTTTCTTTGCTCTAACGATATGAAAGGACAACCGTCATACTGACGTAGTCAGTACCCGCTGCAGATCACCTGCGTGGGTATATAATTCGCTCTTCAGCACCTCTCTTTTGTAGACTAGAGATCAACTCATACATCTTTCAATGCTTCCTCCATCATCTCGTCTTCAGTTCCCCCTTCACACATCGGCTCAGGTGAGAACAACATATCTTCCTGTTTCTCCTGGTTGTGGGCGATGAAGCCGTTGGCCCTTGTTGGTCCGGTCGCCCACATCAATCACCATCGTAGGTAACCGATAATCGGATGGGGAGTAGCAAGTCTTCCATTTTTTATCGCAGGATTGAATCCATTGGCAGAAAAATTCAATCCGGAATGCTTGAACGTCTATTACCAAGGCGGTCAGGGTCCACCCCGACATTAATGAGAACGAGTATTTACAAACCATGATTGACGATTATCACTGCAGAGATCACGTCGCTTGACAGGCCCGCTTTCCGAGGATCTTCTCTCTTCGGTCCCCATGAACTGGTATTCAGGTCTTGAAAAGCCTTGTAAAACCATTCTGACAAGGATCGACAGAGCTTACAAGCTGGTGAAGATGCTAAAGCTTCAAATACTTGAGTCGTAAGCTGTAGTGGCCGCGGGAAGGCTGAACATGTCGCACACGATGTCGACGGGAGCGTCGAAACATCTACGTTATCTAGTTGACTGAGATAGCCCACAATCTCGAATCCCATGAGGGTGTCATTGCTGGAGATGCATGAGGCCGAGGTAGGCTCCTTCCTCAACTCTTTCAATTGCTCAAACTGATGTATTTCCCGAGATTGCTCCTGTGTCATCGCTTGGTTCCACACATCCAAAAGCCCAAGTCTTAATGCCAATCCCCTAATACCTCGGGCTTGTAGGACATATTCGCTCGAATTCGGAGAACGATATCCAAGATAAACCCCAGATGTACCCCTATAGTGGCCCGGATAGAAATCTAGATGTGGTCCTCCCACCTCTCTTGCATAAGCTCGTCCCTTTATTCCAAAAGCTCGCCCCTTGACATTCAACATGACTTAACCCAGTATAGCAAATTCCCCGGGAAAACAGCTGCACTTTTTTTTGTAGTTGATCCAGTTTCTTTCTACGAATTCAATATGTAGTCCAATTTCCTGCAGTACCGTCACGTTGTTATCAATTCTATCCTCAAGCTCTGCGGCAACCATTGCATCCTCTCCGTCAAATAAATATGCAACCTGCTCCAGCGTTGTCCCCTTCGTTTCAATAAACAGAGACCAAATGCATAATACCTCTATATTCAAGATTACGATGTAGACAAAGTAGAAGCGCCACGCCAGGTATGCCAGGCTAATAAGGTTGATATATTGATTGAGAACCCTGGACAAGGCCGTCACAGCAAGGCACAATGCAAGTCCCTTGGCATGTAGGCCGTAAGGAAGAATCTCGGAACAGTACATCACCATTAGACCGGGCCAGGCAAATCCAGCCATACCATAGAAGAGAAAGATCATGCCGAGGACCGCACTGCTAGCTCCCGTGTTGCCCGTTTGCGCGTAGACTGCCGAACAACTATTGCGAAATCATGTTAGTATACTGCTTCAAGCACAAGTTATTGTTGGATAGTACTCACGCAGTCCAAATGCTGAACACGACAAGCATACCTATGGCCGCAGTGAGGAATAATGCTTTGCGACCAAGTCTATCCACCAGGAAGACGGAAAATCCAATGGCAACCAAGAATGACCAGATTTGCAAACCTCCATTGAATAGAGACTGGTACGTGGGATCGCTAATTCCGACCGAAGATAGAATATCGTGGAGATAGTATGACACGAGCCCGTTGCCAGAGCACTGACTGAAGAATGATGTCAGGACCACCAGTAGCAGACGTTTCCTGTTCCCACTGGTCTTCAAGAAAATTGACCATTCTTGCTCTGAAGCTCCCCGCTCCAATCGAATTGTATCCTGGATTTGCGCGAACTCGGCAAGAACAAAAGTGTTAGAGTGGTCGCCCTCTGCATGGTACTGTAGATTAGATCAGCATGCTGATTAATCATTCAGTGATGGCCGGACGTACCTTGAAGAGTATATCCCGAGCTTCGGAGGTTCTGTCTTTAGAGCACAGCCATCTTGGGCTTTCTGGAAGCGTGAAAATGCCAATGAGTTGAAGCAATGGCATCAAGGCCTGCAGAGCGACAGGAATTTGCCATGCCTTCTGCCCTTCGTACCCTACTGTTCCATAAACAGTCCATGCAGCTACAATGCTTCCCAGGTACCAGAGTGTGTTATAGAGCGTGGTGAGCTTTCCGCGATGTTGTGGATAAGCAAGTTCCATAATCAGCAATGGAGCAGCGCCAATGGAGATATTCGAGCTATAAAAGAGTTGGTTATTTCAGACTTGATTTTGTAGGTAAAATAGACAGGCACAATGGAGCTCACCCAAATCCGACTAGGAAACGACCGCCGATAAATATGTTACGAACATGCACCCTTGCAGGACAACCAAGGAAGGATAAGTACGGCCAGGAAAAGCGACCAAAGGCAAAAAAACAAAACCAACCCACTAGAAGTCACGTAACGACGTTACGTGCACCAGGATCAGCTGCTTAATTATGCTTAATTAAAATTAACTAAATAAGGGTTAGCAATATAAAGCAATATAATCGGGGCTAATATTAATAAAGAAATAAATAAATATATATTATAAAAGGATTTTTTATATATATAATTATTACCTTAATAATTAATTTAAGCATTTATTTTATTTATAAATAAAGCATTTAATACGCTTTAATAATTATATTTATAATATTAAATTAAAACCACCTTTAATTATTTTTTGCTTAATTTAATATTTTGCTTAACGTTCCCTATTAGCATAAACCTTAATACCCCTATACCTAGGTTTATTTTAGAAACCCGTAATATAATCGTAATATTTTAATTATTTTTATTTAAGTACGTTACCTAAGTTATTATTAAGCAATACCTCGTATAAAAAATACTATATTTTGAAACGGAAGCGTTATTAATAATTTAATTAAAAGAGTAGACGTTTTCGCAATAATTTAAACGTTGCAGGAATAAATATAAACGCTATATACCTAAAATTAATAGCTTTAAAAAACCTACCTCGAAATTAAAGGAAATAACGAATAGCTTACTAAATAAATTACCGCCATCCCCGGACCAAGGGCAAAATCTAGTAATAGGTATAAAATCCCTTTATTATCTTATTATAATAAAAAGGAAGGAAGCATATAAGCCTTTTTTACTTAAATAAAGGCTTACCTTCGGTTTTACCGTAATAATATTAAAACCGAAAAAAATAAGATTTTAGGCATTGCCGGATTTTTTTAAAGGCACGGCTTTAAAATAATTCGAACCTATTATAAAAGATTATTTTAAAAACCCGGACGACGATAAAAACGATAATACTAAAAAAATCTTCCGACGGTACTCTAAATTCGAACGATAGCTTAAGGCTATTTTTAGTAACCCCGACGAAATTCGCACGGCCGAGCGCGAATTTATGCAATTTAAGCAAAAAGGATTAGCTGCTAAATACGCCGCCGAATTTAAATAAATTATATTTCGCACCGAGTAAATTAACTATAATACGATAATAATATTATTTTACGCAGGATTACGAAACGACGTTAAAAACGAAATATCTAAAAAAAACCGATTTAACGATTTTTATAAATATATAAAACGCGTTATTAAAATCGATAACCGCTTATATAAAAAACGATTTAAAAAGGGTAGAAACGGCCCTAAATCTTAATTTAACTTAAAAAGAGTACGGTTCGGAAAACCTCGCAAAAACCAAGGATAAAGGAAAAAAACCTTTTACAGATAGCATAACGGACCAATAAATCTCGACGCTACGTAGCGCAAAAATAAAACCAAAATTAAATGCTATAATTATAATAAAATAAAATATTACGTTAGCGAATATCGCTAATTTAAAAAGCTTAAATTTAAGCTTATATTAAAAGGTAAAAAATAATTTAATAATATTAAGCGAAACGATATATTTTATAAGTTATTTTTATAAACGGCGTGCTTCGATAACGCTTATTAAACGTATAAGTTTAGCAAAAATAATAGTAAATAATACCCTAAGGAACGAAAAACTTTAATAATTATACGCTTAGGAAGAATTATTATTTTTAGCCTAAAAAAATAAATATAAAATAATAATAGCGAAATTATATTTAATGCTTTAAAAAATAAAGCTTATTTTTAAACGTAACGGGCCGAATACCGGGCCCGAAATATAAAATTAAAAGGATTAATCGACGATATTAATAATAACGATAAAAACTATAGTAAAATCGACCCTTACGCACCTAATAATATTTATAGCATCGATAAACTACCGGAAAAATAGCGATTAATATAATAATTATAAATTTTAAATAACGAAATATTCGAGGTTATAATTCGACGAAATCGACTAATTAAGCTAAATATTTTTTATATTATTATAATAGCGGAGTTATATAAAATAAAATAATAATTCGTAAAGATTTTTTAAAAAATTATAAATATAGTATAAAAAAAAAACTTTAGGAGCTATTTTTAAAGACGATTTACGATTTAATATTAAATATAAATAATATTATTAGATTGCGTAAATAGGATATATTAATTTAAAATGCGACGAATACCTAGAATTAAAAATTTAATAAAAAATCTTCCTTTTTAAAATAGGAAAAACCGTTATAAATTACCTTTATTTAGCGGGATTTATAAAAAAGGCAAAAATAAGCTATTGCGATATTTAAGGATACGTCGTATTTGCTACGCATTTTAGCTTAAAATAATATTCGGATATAAAGAAACGGATATGGTTAAATTATATAATAAACGAATATAACCTTTATATAAAAAATAAGGCTAAGGTATAGCGATAAATTAAAAAGCTACGGGCTACCGGATAATTTTAAATAACCCTAATTCGATATATAATAGTAATCGATAACGCTATAAAAACGATATAAAAAGCGCCGCTATAATACTTTTAATTATCGATAACTTAATTAATTATTTTAGTTAAAAAAATTACTAATAATATTAGTTTATTAGGAATTAAACGACTTTACTTAGAATATAAAAAGACCGAGGAGCTAGGAAAGCTTTTTAGGGATAATAAAAAATAAGGAAATACTTTTAAAACCTAAAAAGGAATAAACAAACCACCTAAATAATACGGAAATCGACCTTTACGAGCTAAAGAAAACCTAAGTATATTAAAATAATAAATATATACGGCCGCCGAAAAACAGCGAGCTAATAAACGACTAAATAAAAATCTAGGAAAAGATTTAGATTATTTTTAAAGCGATAAAAGTGGTCTTTAGGAAGGAAGTTTATATATGCTATAAACGGCATTAATATTAACGAATACTTTACGATCTAAATTGGGATTATAAATTAAAAAATACGAGCCTTAATAGATACGGGAGCTTAAAGAAATTTTATTTCGCTAATAATCGTTAACGCTTTATAAATATTATAAAAGCAAAAAAAGACGCTTTACGCATTCTAAATTATTAATAGAGAATTTATATTATACGGAAATAGAATTATAAGCATAGAAATTGCGTATATTTAAATTTATATCTAAAATTACGAAAAAAAACTTAAATGCGATATTATAAAAATTACGGATTACGATATTATCTTAAGGATACCTTAATTATAAGCGAATAATCTTAAAATAAACTAGAATACCGGCTAATTTTAGTAAAATATACTAAAAAGAGAATTAGCCTTTAAAAAGCGCTAAAATAAGCCTTTAAATAACCTTAAAATATTTAAATTCTATTTTATAATTAAGTATATTAAACCGGAATTCGAGATTAAAGTATTAGGAAAATATTAAAAGTTTAGTAATTTATTTAGTAAAATATTAAAAATAGGGTTACCAAAGCATATAAAATACGATTACGAAATATCCTTTTAGGAAGGAAAAGAACCGTATTTCGTATTAATATACCTAATAAAATTTTAATATAAAAAGGCATTAAAGGAATATTTAGTAGATATGTTATAAAAAGGATGGATTACGGAATTTATTTTATTTATAGGATATTTAATATTTTTTATATTTAAGAAGAGCAAGGACGGAAAACCTAAATAAAAACTTTATATTAATTACCGCAAGTTTAACGATATTACGATTAAAAATAAATATTTTTTATTTTTAATTAAAGACTTACGTAATAAATTGTATAGAGCCTAATAGTTTACGGCTTTAGATTTGCTTAACGCGTATAGCTTAATACGCATTAAAAAAGGAGAAAAATAGAAAACCGCTTTCCGTTATAAATATAGATATTTCGAATATAAGGTTATGCTTTTCGGATTAACTAACGCACTAATAAGCTTTTAGAATATAATTAACGACGTTTTAAAAAAATATTTCGATAAATTCGTAATAATATATTTTAATAATATATTTATTTATTTTAAAGACTTTAACGAATATTAATAATATATTAAAATAGTGCTATAAAAGCTATAAAACGCGAACCTATTAATTAACCTAAAAAAAAGCGAATTTTATAAAAAAAAAGTCATTTTCGTAGGATATATGATATCCCCCGAAAAAATTAAAATAAAACCATCTAAAATTTTAATAATAAGGGATTGGCCTATTCCGACTTCGGTAACGGAAGTTAGATCCTTTTTAGGATTTATAAATTTTTACCGAATATTTATTTAGGGATTCGGAGGGATTGCCGCATTATTTACGTATTTAATAAAAAAAGATATACCTTTTAATTAGATAACCGAAGTATAAAAAGCCTTCGAAATAGTTAAAAAACGAATTATAGACGAACCCGTAATACGTATAATAAACGCGGAACGAAAATTTAAAATCGAAATAAACGCCTCGGATTACGTTATAGGCGGATAATTTACGTAAAAAGATAATAACGGGAAACTATACCTAATTATATTTTATAGCAAAAAGTTTACGAAAAAAAAATTAAATTATTAAATTTACGATAAGGAATTTATAGCTATTATCGAAGCATTTCGAAAATGGAAATACTACCTTAGCGGAACTAAATACTAAATTAAAATTTATACCGATTACAAAAATCTAGCCTTATTTACTACTAATAAAAAATTTAATAAGCGATAAATTAGGTAAGCAGAATTTTTAGCAAATTTTAATTTTAAAATTATTTACCGTAAAAAATTAGAAAACGGCAAAATTAACGCTTTAAGCCGAAAATCGGATTATTTCCAAAAAATACTAAAAAAAACTAATACCATTTTTTCGATAAATAATAACGGAGACTTAATATTAACCGTAACCTTATACACAGCTATAAAGGTTATTAATAACGAAAATTAAATAAAGAAAATTATCGATATAGCACGACCACTATTCTAAAACCTATTTTATAACCTAGCATTAAAAATAAAAAAATTCGAAAATATCGTTAAATATAACGGTAAGTTATAAATCCCGGATAAACTCCGAAAAGACCTTATTAAAAATTATTATAAATTATTAATTTACGGATATTAAGGAGTTTTTAAGACCTTTAAACGAATTTAATAAAAATTTGATTGCCTAAACCTCCGATAAATAATTAGCAAAGTTATTAAAGAATATAATTTATGCAATAAAGTAAAGTTAGCATAATATAGGTAATATAAAAAATTATAATTTATATTACCGCTAAATAGGGTATAAAAATTTATTATATTAGATTTTATAGTAAAATTATTATTTTCGGAAGAACCTTTAATTAGGACTTTTTACGATAATATCCTAATATTTATAAAACGATTTACGAAATACGCTTATTTTTTCCTATATAAAGAAGCTAGTAACGTAAAAAAACTAGCTTATATATTCCTTCGAATAATAGCTAGCTAATACGGATTATTAAATAAAATTATTTTAAATCGAAATAAGTTTTTTATATTAAAATTTTAGAAATTATTTATTAATTAGCTAGGATGCGATTATAAGCTTTCGACGGCTTTTTATCCGCAAATTAACGGATAAATAAAACGAATTAATTAGGTATTCGAAGAATATTTTAAATATTACGTTAATTACGAATAAAATAATTAGGTTATACTATTGCTATTCGCGCAATTTGCATATAATAATATAATACGAGAACCTATTAGAATATTATTATTTTACGCTAATTACGGGTATGAACCCGATATTACTAAAAAATTATTAAAAAAAAAGAATTTGTATTATACGCTATTTTACGCGTCGAATAATTTAAAAACCTATAAATAAAATTTTAAAAAACCTTTATTGCTATTTAATAAAAAATAAAAACCCGATATAATAAAAAAAAAATTAAAGGATTAATTTTTAAAAAAGGAAATAAAATCTATTTTTTACGTAAAAATATTAAAATAAAACGATTAAACGATAAATTTAATTTTAAAAAACTTGGATTATTTAAAATCGATAAAAAAATTTCGAATATTAATTACCGATTTAAGCTATTAAAAATTATAAGAAATTATAAAACCTTTTATATTTTATTATTCGAATTAGTACCAAAAAACGCTAAAATCGACGAAATACTAAAAACCGAACTAAATTAGTAAAGCTATAACGTCGAAAAAATTATTAATTATAAAAAGGTCGGATAAAAATACTAATTTTACGTTAAATAGGAAAATTACCTATTTAAAAAAATATTTAGGAATTTAAGAAATATATTAAAAGCTGCGACGCTTTTAATTAATATTTTTAATTTTATTAAAAAAACTAGGATTTATAAAATTATTTTCGAAATTAAAACTCCCGAGCTTAATAAAAGGGCTAGAACCAAAAAAATTATTTTCGAAATTAATAAAAGCCTAATTAATAATATTGAAGCCCGGTACGGAAAAAGCTAAAATAAAGGCCTCCGCTTTAAAGCGCTTTTGCTTTTTTAATTTTTTAAGGGATTTAAGGCCGCGTTGCATTAATTTTATATTATTTATACGCGCTATTTTTTTTAGTTTCCGAAAACGGATTAAACGAGCGACGGCTTTGTTTATCTCCTCCTAATAACGACGTTATAATTTTAGAAAACGTTTTTCCGTAATAACTTTTTTGCAAAAAAGCCTTTAATGCTCCGCCCGCAAACGCTAAAGGGATAAAAAAAAAACCTTTTAATTATTATAACGATAACTTAAGCGGGAGTACCGCTTATATTTTGTTACCTTTTTTATTATTATATATTTTTCGTTTGCGTCGAAATAAATAGGATACGGTATAATTTTGAAACTAAAATCGGAAAAGGATTTTAATAAATCGTAACGACGAATAATCGAAGGAGCCGGAATAGAACGAATTTTTTTACTTATTAACCGTTTCTAAATACGGTTAAATATAATAACTATATATTATAAATTATAAAAAAAAGGGAAAAAAGCTACTATAAAGGAATAGGACGAAAAGACTTATTTATATAGCTTAAAAATCTTTTAGGGATAAAAAATATAAAAAAAAGAGCTAATATTACGAATATATATTTTTATAGGATAATTAAAGAAAAATAAATATGGCTAGGAAAAGCGACTAAAGGCAAAAAGACAAAATTAACCTATTAGAAGTTACGTAACGATATTATATATATTAGGATTAGCTGCTTAGTTATGCTTAATTAAAATTAATTAAATAAAAGTTAGCAATATAAAGCAATATAATCGGGGCTAATATTAATAAGGAAATAAATAAATATATATTATAAAAGGATTTTTTATATATATAATTATTACTTTAGTAATTAATTTAAGCATTTATTTTACTTATAAATAAAGCATTTAATACGCTTTAACAATTATATTTATAATATTAAATTAAAACTATTTTTAGTTACTCTTTGCTTAGTTTAATATCTTGCCTAACGTTCCTTATTAGCATAAACCTTAATACCCCTATACCCAGGTTTATTCTAGAAACCCGTAGTATAGTCGTAATAAAATAGTCCGTTATTCACTTGCGGAATGGCTAGCTTTCTTTAGTTTACTGTTTCGCTTTACTGTCTGTCTGCTTGTGTCTCACATTGTAAAATCACGCCAACGAGCAGGAAGATGATACCGATAGCGGTAGCAATGCGTCGACCAAACATATCCGCCAGGTAAGGTGCTACAAAAAGATGATTAAATCAACGTACTCGTCCACTTCGAAAAGCTAAAGGCACCTATATATAAACAGAGCAGCGAAGCCGCCAATATTTACAATGGCAGTAAAAAGACCGATAGTTACGCCAGTGGGATTGCTAAAGTCTAAGACGATACGTTAGCTAGGAGTGCTCGTCGAGATGGCGAAATCAACTTGCAGGACTGCCATTGAATCATTGTCTGGAGACCATTCAAAAGGCTTCCATCATATCCGTTAATAGTGGCACAGAGCATGAGAATCGGCATGCGAAGATATAGGCTCCGGAGATTGGCTCTCTTATACCAAGTCATAACGGGCACTTCTAGAAGCCTAGAATCGGGTTCTGTTACATGTTTCTTGGAACTGGGGTTAACCGCGGCCATGATGGTGGTAGTTGAAGTAGCTTATTGATGGATGTATAGGAATCGGATACTAGAAACTCTTTCGTGAGGAACAAACGAAGAGCACACAGGACCGAGGGGGAAATCAGTGCTTATTTTAAGGATTCCTAAAGAAAATCTTCAGAATGGCATCGACAAAATCGAATATATTGCATGGACTAAATTTACTGAGACCAAGCTAGTTCAAGTATGGGCCTAACGCTAGATCAATTGGTTTATGGTATCATGGGTAAAAACCGCAAGGGGGCCAGCGTACAGCTTCGTATCTCTCTAAACAAAGTAGATACCTAGGTAAATACTTGACCCACTACGTTTTTCCCCCGGCATGATACCCTAGTATGCTGCCTCGATCTTTCTCCATGTAATTTTGAGCTAGTTTGCCGGTGGCTTGGTTATGGCATTCGTTTTCACAAGGTGTCCATCTCTTGCAATGCGGCGACTATTTTAGTGCCGCCTCCCCGCCCGCCCCCAGAACTGGCCTGTCCAAGCGACCCAATGGTATAATGCGCCCACCGGAGCGGAGATTTAGTGCAGGTTTGGCCCTTACAGTACCTTAGCGAGGCGTTGCGGACTGGGAACCAGTTAAAATACCCGATTCCCACCAGCAATAATTGCCCTGGACTCTCCAGCTCATTCTTTTTCATGGTTACGCTCCATCCCTCGGCCATTGGCAGTTTTGACATATCGACACATTGGGACAAGATGCAGATCATTCTGCTCGGCGACGACAGCTACTAATTGGCGTATTCCGCATCCCCTCAAGATCCAGGATGAAGCGAGCTACGGCGTGCGAGCGATGCCGGCTAATTAGACGCCGCTGCATGCGCCGCGGACTCGGACAGGCTTGCTCGCTATGTCAATCCAGGAACCTCCAATGCTCATTTGCAAAGTCTGAGATCTTACGAGCACCAAGGCCAATTTGGGTCTGCCCTGCTAGTCAACGGATTGCGGCACAGTCCACAACAATAGATGCTCCCGACACCACAGCTACGAGGGACGTGACTGCTATCGAGCTTCTCCCGGCAAGCACTGTGAGAGAGATGGTTGAGCACTACCTCACCAAGCTTCATGATCGACCACATAGCCTCTTCCACCCACAATCCCTTCTTCGTAGCATTGAGGACGGGACAATCAAGAAAGCTCTACTCTATTCAATCTGCAGCTTGGGCTGCAGATTCATGGCCACAAGCAGTCTGCGGGATTTGGAAACAGTTTTCATGGCCGAGTCGAAATCTTTGTTGCAAGCGGATTTCGAGCACGTGTCTGTTCAAAACATACAAGCCTGCATCCTTGTCGCCAACTTGTGTGCAGCTCACTTGCAGACTCAATCCGAAGCACTTTACTTTCGTAAGTCATTTTTCTTTGGCCATCTTGTGTCAGGATGGGGCCATTGCACCGTAAACATCTCTCGCTAAAGCAATGTGATAACACGACTTGAAAGGAATGGCAAACAGCATCATGCAGATCATGGAAGTTGCGGACCCTTTACCATCCTGTACTTCCGCCATAACGAAAGAAATAAGACGGCGCATATGGTGGACGCTGTTCATGGCTGACTACTGGTGCTCTTCGGGATTGGATCTGCCGAGGCAGCTGAATTACTGTGACAGGGTTGACTTACCCATGGCGGAGGACGTGTTTCATGCAATGAGAGAAGACCATATCGAGTATCCCATCGCCACAAGTTGGAAACCTGGTCTATGGGCACATATGATCACCCTTGTTCAATTCTTTGGGCCGGTGATGGATCTGAATCGACGTTGCGCATCACCAAGCTTTTCTGCAGAAGAGAGAGATCGTACTGTAGCTGCACTCTCCTTGCAACTCCACCAATGGGAAGAGATGCTACCCTGTGATGTACGGAACTCTACTGAGAACCTTCTAGAGCACAAGGCCCGCGGCTTGGGAGGACCATTCGTCGCCTTGCACCTCGGTTTCCATCACTACGCGACACTGCTTTACTTTCAGTTTCTCTCTTCTCCGAATGAACCCCTCTATGCACGACGTTGCAAATATCATGCCAGGGCCTACAGCACCCTGCTTGAGCAAGCTCGGAAGACGGGAAGTTGCGAGGCTGTTTATCCAACTGTCGGGCATATGGCAACGGTATCATCCGCCACCCTGCTATACACGCTCCTCTTCGGCGATGAGTTTGAGCTTGCGGATTCCAGAGCCGGCCTGAACACCAACTTTGAAGCATTGATAGAGCTCAGAACATATTGGCCACGATTGACATCATGGGTAAGTACGGGACAGGCTGCCATTATTTTCACATGTAGTGCTAGGCCACCTATAGAACGAGCTAACCTGGCCCTGACAGCAAATTGAACGTCTCATCACCTTTCAAAACTTGTGTCTACTTGCTGTCAGAAACGAAAACGCTCAAACTCATCAACTTGACAGATGGATGCTGAGATTCTTAGTGGAACATGCACTACCCCTAGAAAGTAAGGTGCCGGGATTAAGCAATATGAATGGAATGTGGGTTCAGGCTCAAGAGCTACGCAAGCAAGGTCGCTTCACAGATTTCACTGAGATGGCGCCAGCGCACTATACTGGCGTCTGATGGTCATGAATAACAGTTCGATCCACCGGACTTTGTCTACATAAGCTTACCCCTTGTATCTCCAAATACGGAGGTTACAATCGGGCCAGCACACGTGAGTGCGGGGAAGTGGAGAGAATGAAGGCCTCAATCTATCCTGTGAACCGCACCTATGTCACTTTTGCACTCCCAAGATTCGTACCCACCCTTCCCCCAAAATCCCACTCCACCGGACGAAATGTTGAGTGTGTGTGTACAGTGAGTTAGGTATTAAGACTACGTTACCTACTATACTGGGCACAAGGGTTACATATACCCATAGCCGAGTAATCCTTGTACTAGGTACATTGCTTGCATACAAACAACCTAGACGAAGTACTCGGAAGATTGGTGGTAAACCCAGGAGCTGCTTGGACCATGTAATCTCTCCGCGGTACACAGCCTCAGTCAAGAGGTTATAGCGATGATCATTGCTTGTTGATTCATGGAGGGAAAAAGAAAAAGCAGGCGACAAGCACGCTTTGGTGTGGGGTGCGATATCTATTTAAGGCTCCTATCCCCCACCACGCATCATCAAACGCATCTTTTGACATGAGCTATAGTTCTTTCGTTGCCTATAACTTATTCATGTTACAAAGGGCCTCGCTCACAATGTTTTCTCTCAATTCTGTGCTGTCGGTAGCGGCGCTGACTTGGGCCTCGATTTCATCACTAGCATCAGCAACGCCAATGGAGAACCTCGTTCCAAGAAGCCCTGAGGCTTACAGCGACTTCAACAATAACGTGGTTTTTACACCGGGAGCGGATTATACGAGCTGGAAGACTATTTACCCACGCTCTCTGCAGCTCGGCGATGGAACGCTACTATTATCCTGGGAGGACTACCCACCCGAACCACCGCTGGCGCACTTTCCAATCTGGAAGTCTGTTGATGGTGGTGCTTCCTGGTCTGATTTTGTCAATGTGACTGATCAGGCAAACGGGTGGGGACTGCGGTACCAACCTCTACTTTACCTTCTCCCGCAAGACTTTGGAGGATACGTGGCGGGCACTATACTTCTCGCCGGCATGTCTCTCCCTGCAGACCTGAGCGAAGCATGGCTTGACCTTTACGCCAGCACAGATGAGGGCAACAACTGGGAGTTTGTGAGCCACATAGTCTATGCCCCAGGTCCAGAGACTGTCACCAATGGCAACCAGGCTGTCTGGGAGCCCTTCCTGCTGATGTACAACAATCAGCTCATCGTCTACTACTCAGATCAGCGTGACTCTGCACATGCACAGAAGCTATCACACGTTGTGACAAACGACTTGAAGACTTGGAGTGACCCGGTCGATGATGTTGCTGCTGATACATACGGCATACGCCCTGGAATGGCCACGGTAGCTCACATCGAAACCACTGACCGGTACATCATGACCTATGAGTACTGCGTCAGCGGCTCTGGCTGTGGAGCTCATTACAAGATAGCAGACTCGCCCCTTGAGTTTGGAACCGCCGAAAATACCATCATTTTGGCGGATAATGTAAGCCCTGGGGGCTCACCTTACGTGATTTGGACCGAAGATCCCTCAGGAAGTGGTTCTGGGATAATCATCATGAATGGGGCATCACGCGAAGAGGTCTTTGTCAACAGTGATGCTGCGGATATCGACACGTGGGAAATGGTCAACGTCGGTCAATGGGCAGCCTACTCCCGATGTCTTGAGATCATCAACGATAATGGTGCATCAAAGTTGATGCTGTCGAACGCTGGAAATATGGTTGCCAATGCGGACAATTATGTCGTTGTCGGAGTCGTCGACATCCCCACTCTAGCATAACTGAATTGTTGTCGTTTGTGCTCGAGGACTGGTCATGATTGTGGTGTCACATGCTAGTACCCCCACTAGGTACTAGTGCAACAGCCCCAAGCCATCTCGGACCTTCCGCCTTCTTCCCCTACTTCTTCTTCACCCACTTTTTGTGGGAAATTAATAGGGACTTAGTGTATTTAATACAAATAAACGGATCTAGCTATATAGGTTTAGTTAAATAAAATGCATAAAACCTAATTGCCTCCTACAGCCTACCGGAAATAGCCGTTAAGCCGGAGGTCCCGGGATTTAATGCTTTTATCCGTTAAAACGAGAGTTATACTTATTACTTTAGTTAAAATTAATTTTTTATACGCCTTTTATAACGAGCGATTTAATCGAAATAAAAGGATAAGCCTTATTACGATAATTTATAATATAATTTATAATTAAATAATAGTGATTATTCCTATGGTTAGGTTATAATTTATTATATTTAGCAAATATACGAAATATTTAAAGTCTTTGGGTTATATCGCTTTTATAAGCTTATTAGCGGCGTTTTTCGTAAATATAACTCTTTTAATTAGAATATTCCTAGCAAAGACTTTTTATTAAATATAATAAAAATACCTTTTAATATGCTTTTTCGTAGGTATATTAATTTAGGTTTTTGCTTACGCTTTTATATTTATATTATTAATTAATAAAGGAATCGCCTTTTAAAGTATTATTTTTAATTCCTTTAGTAGGTTCCTAATAAATATAGCTTTATAAGCGCTTTTATTAATAGCGTAATATTTAGCTTTTATAATAAATTAAGTAATTACGCTTTATAATTTTAAATTTTAGCTTATTAGGGAGCCCGTTATAAACGTTATTTATTTAAACATAGATTTAAAGGTTAATTTATCGTTTATAAAATTAGCGTTAACGTAAATATATAATCCTAATTCCTTATATTTAATATAGCGATAAAATCGAATATATTTTATTCCTTTTATACGGGTGCTTTAAAGGTATTATAGCACTTTATTTAAATGCTTAATATAATTAAAGGACGGGTTATTTATAAAGCGTATTTATATTTTATTAGAGTATATTATATTTGCGCGTAATTTAATTATAGCGTAATTCGTTTTCCCGAGCTTTTTAAAGTATTAATTCCTGGATTTTTAATTAACGTAGCTTTTAAATTTATAGGTTATTATTATTAATCCCGGATTAATAGGAATAGCAGTATTTTTAATATTTTAGCATTTAAATTCTTTAAATATTTAATTTAAATATCTATTTTATAGCAATATAATGCTATTATTTTCCTTTTAGATAATGCGTATTCCTAAATATTATTTAGCGGTATTTAAATATTATAATTTTAATTATTTATTTAGCTATTAAATTAATTTTTCGATAGCTTTAGTATTTATATATATAATTATAAAATCGTTTATATAAAAGGTTAGTACCGTTTTATTAATTTTATTTTAATAAATAATATTATCGGTTTTTAATTTTATAAAGCTTAGCTTTTTTAATTTTTTTTTAATTTTTTATTGCTATTTAAAACCGCTTTGCTTTAAGCCGTATAAAGGGCGTAATAGCCTAATTATATTATTAGGAATATAATTATATTATTATATAATATTAAGGTATTAAAATATAAATTTATTTAGGTATAAAAATTAGCGTATATAGATTTTTTTATTAAACCGGCCTAATAAGTAGGCTATAATAAAATCGATTTAAAAGATTTTCTAACTTTTAATTATAGTTATCGCGATTAAAACGCGGATACTTATTTGCTTGGCTATATTAGCGAAAATTTTTTTATAATTAATTCCGAAAATTTAAATAAAGCCCTAAGCTATAAGGCGTACTTTTTATTTATTTATATTACCGGTAAAATTATATTTGGTTTTATATATTTATTTAAATTTAATTAATAGCTTTTACTTTAATTTAAAATTATTATAATCGAGGAATTTAAACGTTTTTTTTTAAATAATTTAATAATTTTTTTTGCTATAGCTTATTATTAATTAGGCTATTTTTATATATTTTTTGCTTAATTAATCGATAATAGATTAGGGTTATATTTAATAATTATTATTAGGTATTCGTTGTGTATTTATTCGAATAAATTATTATTAATTAATAATAAATAGTTATATAAGCTTTTATTTAGCGTAATTAATAGCGCGCCTTTAAAGCTTGGATTTTTTTTATCGTCCTAATTATAATTCCGTAAATTAATTAAAGCGTAGTAATTATTTTTTATAATTATATTTATATATGCGTAGGTATATTTATTTAAGCCTTAATATATTATAATATAATTATAAATATTATTTATATATATTATAGCATATTTAGCTATACTTTGCCGTATAGCTATATATATTTAAAAAAAGCCGGCTTTAAATCGCCGCGCTTTTTATCTTTATTCTTTAGCTATATTCGGATTATAAGGCTTTATATAATAAGTTAGCTTTAAAATCTTATATTATAGCCTGTTTTGGACGTATTACGGGAGTAATTTAATTATTTTTAACGGATCGGGCTAATTAGCGCTTTTATTAAAATTTTTATAAAATATAACGTAAGGAGTTATAATAAAGCGTATTATATTTAATATATATATTTTATATAAATATTCCCTAAAATAACCTATAAATATACCTTTTAGCGCTTTTATTTATAATTTTTTAGCTTATATTTTATTTTCCTTTAAAATATATATAAAAATACGCGATTTAAAAATCCTAAAATGCCTAATTAATAGGCGATTAAGTGTATTTTATAGCTAAAAGTTATTTTCCTAGCGCTATTAAAAAATAATTAATTCCTTTTTAGTAAGTATTATACGGTTTAAAACGATAATTTATGCCTTATAGATTTTATTTTAAAATACCGTAAAAATATTTATTTAAATATAAACGGCGCGTACGCTATTTTATAGTATATTAATCGCGCGTTTAGCAAAGCTATTTTAGTATTAGTTATTTAATATTAACGTAATTAATTCGATGCCTTTCTGCTTTACGTAATTATTAAAAAAGCCGCCGCTAAAATTACTAATTCCGTTAATACGAATTATTTTAATTTAGCGCCTTTATTTCCCTAATTTATATTATAGCCTAGCTATATGCCTAAAAAAGTCGCTTTATAAAAGCCTTTTAAATAAAATATTAATAAAATATAATTTTATAATTTTGCGGTATTTAATTAATATAAAATAATAATTATTATTTAAATTAACGGGTTTAATCTTTTTAATATTAGTTTATAATAAAGTCGCCGCGAAATCTGCGCGAATGCGCATTAAATTTATTAAATTAATCCGAACGCTTTTAGCTTTATCGCACGTATTATATATTAATATAAAAATGCTATTTAAATCTAAATTAATACTTTTAGTGGCCTTAATCGTTTTAATTAGCCGTTTTTTATTTAAATAGCCTAATCGACGATATTATAAAGTCGTTTATTTAATTAATAGCTTCGTTAATCCGTTTAGTGCTATTAAAGCTTATATATAAAATGGGTTTTTTTGCCTATATAGCCATAAAAACCACCTTTTTTTAATTATATTAATAATAATTAATATTTTATTATTAGGCGTTTTAATAAAGTTATTATAAATTTTAAATCTAGCCTTATATAGCTTATTATTAAAAATTATTTTTAATAGGAAGTTTTTAACGTAATAATATTTTTTAAGCGTTAATTTCCGGCGCTTGCCTTTAAAGCTACGTTATACGGTTATTATTTAGCCGTATTTTATTAGATATATTATACTGTTCCTAATTATAATAGGTAACCGATTATATTTATTTAGTTTAATAATTAATTTAGCGATAAAATTAGTTTTATCGTTCGTAATATAAATATTAGCGCTTATATTTAATAGCTATCGTTTGCGTAAATTTAGCGTTTAAATAGCTATTAAAATAGGGAAATTATAATAATTCGTTTTATTTTATATATACGGATCGTATTGCTTAGCAGGTTTATAGCGCCTGTTATTAAGCGTAGCTTATAATTATTTAATTACGCTAAAAGCGATTCGCGTATAGCAATTATAAGCTATCCTTTATTTTTTTTTAATTTTTATCCTAATTAAAGAGTTTTATAATTTTAGCGCTTTTAAATTAATAAAGGGAATTATTATTTATTATAGTTAATAATAACTGCTAAGAGCCCCGGAGTGTGTTTATAAACGCGCCTCCCCGGCTTTAATTACGACTTATACCGCGTTTACGGTAATTGCCTTTATTTGCGCTTAATCGTATAATTACGTTTAATTGCGTAGGTAATTGCGTTAATTATATAAAATTAGAATTTTATTTATTTATAGCTTTTTTATCGCGTTTTTTAGATTTATAGTTAATTTGCCGATAACCCTTTTTGCCGTAATATTAATAATCGCCGTTAATTTAACCGTTATTATTAATAAATAGTAAATTAGCATTATTTTTATTATTAATTATTATTTTATTTGCAAATTTAGTTATAAGGAATTATTATAATTATATAAATTTTAATATAACGCCTTTTAGGAGGATAGCTAATTAATTTTTTTTTTGTTTTATTTATTTTAAAGCCTTATTTTTAGTGGCTCTTAAATATAACTAAATTTAATTATTTAGAATAAAGCGTTAATTACCAGCGTTATGGCTTTTTTATATATAGTAATTCTATTCGGTATTAAATTTAGCTAGGTTTTTGCTATTATAGTTGAATTTATATAATTTTCTTAATAGTTTTTGCCTTTTTTTAATAATAATAAAATTAAATTAACGGCAAAAAGCATTTTTTATTTTTATGCCTATTAAATAATATTTTATAATTATTAATAGCGTTTTATTATTAATTATAGCTAAAATTATAATAGTAATAAATTTATTATTTAAAAGGTAAATAAAGGTTTTTGCGATTTATTTAGTAACCTATTTATTAAGCTTAAGCAATATTATATAGGCGCGATAATTAAAGGTTCCTATTAAGAATTTTAATTTATCGATTTTAAATTTAAAATTTTTTAAATAAAAAATTAATATAATTAAAGCTTGTTTTAATATGTTATAGCTAGCTATATTAGCGGCTGTTTGCTTTATATTTTTAGCTATGGCTTCCGTAGCACCCGCTATAGTTATATATTTTATAGCGCTTTAGCTAGCTTTATTAGCGATCGCTTAAATAGCTATTATAGCGCTTTAATTATTTTTAGTTAAAATACCCTAGCTAGCAATATAAGGTTTTAAATAACCTTTAATGCCAAGTGCTATATTATAATAAAAAAAGCTATTTATAATATTTTTTATATTAATTATAGTGCTATTATATAGGAAATTAATAGGGATTTAATATATTTAATATAAATAAACGGATTTGGCTATATAGGTTTAGTTAAATAAAATGCATAAAACCTAATTGCCTCTTATAGCCTACCGGAAATAGCCGTTAAACCGGAGGTCCCGGGGTCTAATGCTTTTATCCGTTAAAACGAGAGTTATACCCATTATTTTAATTAAAATCAACTTTCCACACTTTTTCGTAGCGACATTTTGCTAGTTAGATGGAGAGATCGAGCTTATCGATGTTCATCATACATTTGTGGCATTAGCTTCGATAGATTCATTCACTTGATTAACACTGATTATCCATCGTTTCCCGTGAACCGTGTACTGATCATCTGGCCTCTAATTCACATGCGGTGGCGGAACTACTGCTGGTTTGGGGCAGGAAACTATGAAGTCGCCACTTTCATTGGTTCGATTGTTGATCGAAGCTCAACTACTAGTGGTTCATGCCCGATACATGAGAACGTTGCACTGATGGACTCATATTATGTGAGTACCTAATTACGTGGTATTGATGCATATTACTATGAAATGGATATTGGAGGGAGCCGACGTGAGCGTTGACAGGGAAGCTGCATGAATATACGGGGTCAACTCGCTTAAGTATAGGCATGCTACCTACCCCAACTATAGTGCATGTAGTGGAATATGAGCCAATCGTAAGCAACGCTCTCCACTTAGGATTGCTGATCGTGAAGATCAACACGATAGACTCAGTCTAGCGCATCATTAGTGGCTCGAGCACTCCCTGGAAGCCACTGCCTATCTCCTTATGAAGAGGTTGTTACGAAATCGACAGCAAGCTATGCTTGACTGATTTCTTGTCGAGGTGAACATCAAAGAAAGATCACTTTTAGGAAGCCGGCCATCGGTACCTTTTAGTTATTTGTGACACCTCAGCTACTCTACGCATACTTCTCTCAACAATCATTTACCACTCAACAAGTACCACAATAGCAGCAATGGTCACAGAGAACGCAGCGCAGATTCCACGGATTGTAGATCTGGACGGTCACAGGCAGCTACATGTTGGAGGGAAACCTTTTCTTATCCTGGGTGGTGAGTTGCAAAACTCGTCATTTACAAGCGCCGAGTACATGAGGCCAGTCTGGCAACGCCTGATCGACAGCCACATGAACACGGTGCTAGGATGTGTTACTTGGGAACTCATTGAACCTGTCGAGGGTGAATTCGAGTTCAGGGAGCTCGATTTGATTATTCAAGATGCCCGGGAGCATGGCTTGCATCTGATACTACTTTGGTTTGGTGCATTCAAAAATGGTGAGTTGTTTACCTCCGTTTTGGATGGCCCTATCCTGCGAAAGACGATTCTAACAGGTCACTTTCTTTTTTCTTCTGTAAATAGGTAAATCGACCTATGTACCTCGATGGATCAAGCTGGACTCGGATCGTTTCCCACGCGCAAAGATCTTCGACGGAAGTACAACGAAGACCACCGAAGTCCTCTCACTATTTTCCCCCGAAGCATGCATTTCAGACGCTAGAGCCTTCGAGAAGCTCATGTCACACATCAAGGAGATTGATGAGGCGCATTCAACCATCATCATGGTACAGGTGGAAAATGAGGTCGGGCTGCTGGGTGATTCACGAGATCGATCGGAGGCTGCCGACAAAGCCTTCGCCCAGCCTGTTCCCCGTGAGTTGATCGATTATCTAAAGACCAACTGGGCTTCTTTGCATCCTGACCTCCGATCCAATCTTGCTGGCGCGGAGCCGGCCCTTTTTGCCAGGACAACTGGTTCCGAACGCGGATGGTCCCAGCTTTTTGGGCAGAGTGCTTCCACGGAGGAGATATTCATGTCGTACCACTATGCGCTATACGTGAACAAGGTCGCAGCTCTTGGTAGGACAGCATATCCTCTACCGCTGTTTACAAACGTGTGGCAGAATTATGCCGAAGGAGGATCCTCTAGTGTATCGACTGTTGCAGCCGGAGGGGGTTCACCTGGCGATTATCCATCGGGCGGCGGGACAAGCAACGTCCTAGACATCTGGCACCGATTCGCGCCCAACCTAGACTTCATCGCTCCCGACATATACCTCAACGATTACCACAAGACGTGCGAAAAGTACAGACACAGTGGCCAACCTCTCTTTATCCCCGAGCAGCGCAGAGACGGCGTTGGTGCCCGGTCGAGTTGGATTGCGATAGGATCGTTTGCGGCAATGGGGATCAGTCCGTTTGGAATCGACACCTTGGAAGCGCAGGACAACGAATATGCCAAACACTATGCCTTGATGGCCTCCACGTCTGCGCTCATCCTCGAGGCACAGCTCCGACCGGCTTCTTCTGTTGGCTTCTACTTTCCACCGCCGCAACCCGCTGGAGGACGAGACACGTATCAGCCTTTGGTCAAGCAGTGGGACGATTACGAATTCACCATTGAGAGGGCCTTTGTCTTTGGGCACCCAGGTCCCGCCGCCGGCATGGTAATCCATCAAGGCGGCCCCAACTTGCTTCTCCTTGGCTGGGGTTTCCAGGTGCGCGCGCGATCCCTCGCTATCGCCAGCACGTTCACAGGTATTGTGCGATTTGAAGAGAAGGAGGTGGTGGATAAAGTTACAGGAGTCCTCAGGACCCTCCGTAGTTTGAACGGGGATGAGACGCGCAGTGGCCAATTCGCAATCATGCCCAACAAGGATCCCGACTATGGCGGCTTTCCGATAGCAGTGACGATTCCTGCACGTACTGGAATTGCGGAAGTCGAGTTTTACTCATTGGTGTCTTGAGAAGAGTATGTAGTTAGATGCTCCATACGACACATTGTGATGAGATAGTTAGCATGAATTTTATCACAATTGCTGAAACGAACGTGATTTGAGACGAAAGACCGATGGTAAGAAATACATAGTTGTGTGGAGAAAAAGAGAGGTGCTAAAAAGCAAACTACATACCCGAGCAGGTAATCTGCGGGAGCACTGATTACATCAGGACGATAGATTTTCAAGCCTGGAGCAGTGTAGCACCAACCAAGTATGTCCCTATCTCTTCTTGATGAGCGTTCTTGAGTTCTTCACTCATCTTGATACGCCAAGCTCCCGTCCTATGGAGGACCCTATCCTTCACAACCTCTGCTCGCATTGCCAGGCTATCGGTGCCACCTATTCCTGGTACAACCAAAAGTATTTGGTTGCTAGAATGGCTATCAGGAATTTCCACTTGACTCTTCAGCTCTTCGGTATCAGCAATGAACCCGTCCAATTTGATCATCTGCTCAACCATGTCTATAGTCCTGATGCTGCTGTTAGCCTCTGGCACACGAACTGCCTCTTTGAGGTTTGGCATCCAGCAGTTCTGGCTTCCCTCCTCGGTTTTTACCATGGTCAACACTGGCCATGAAACTACCCCGGCGTTGATTGCTCGTATCAGGGTGCTTTCGACAGACTCGTTATACGTGATCCAAAAGTCGTTGTGTTTGGTGAGTCCAAGGAGTGCGTAAATCTTATCGTTTGGCCGGGCGCACTGTCTGTGTGCTGCCACTTCCAATAGCGTGTCAATATTCTCAGCCAGTGTTGGAACGCATTCCCATGGCTCTGCCCAGGTACTGACGAGGGCTCTGTCTGCCAGTATGGTGTCGTTACACCTTCTGCGCAATTCGCTCAGCACACCGTTGGGTCCCGCCCAGTCTCCAGCTATGTCTTCGTTCAACCGCGCTTCTCCTAGATGATGCACTCCCCGCAGATCAAAGATGGCTTCTCCAGTAAACACCAAGAGACTGTTGGACCATACTGCTTCCTGCAGTGTCCACATCCTCTCCGCCCATTTTGACTTCATGACCTGTCCTACCAACTGACTGGTTTTATTCCTACCCTCGGCAGATATAGTCTTCCATTTGAAGATTGCTCTGACGCGTGTCGTCAACGATACCTCTCGCGCCAGAATCACCGTAGCAGCCGCTTCTTTATATATATCGATAGAGGTATGGTGACCCCCGGGGATTAGCCGGGTCACCCAAATAAGGGTGCAACTTGTCGAGACTGGAGGCTCAGAACAAATACAGACATTGCACAATTAACACCCATATCAGAATAGTTAAAACTCTAATAGGAAAGCACCACCTTCATCAACACTTATTTTCAGCAGCCTAGAACCTACATGTCACAGCGACAAGGTGGATTTCTCTCCGGATTTTGTGTCCTTAGCTCCATGTTAGGTTGCGCTAGTCCTTCCCCAAGGTCCTTCCCGTCCTTCCCCAAAGCTTTATTCAATCTCGATAAATTTATGTAATTGAAATAATCAATATTATAACACATTCGCTGTAAATAATTAAGATTATTTAGATATGCTTTTTAATACTTATGAATAATTCATGTTTCATTGTGTGCGTGTATAATAGATCAGGTATTAAAAGGGGAGTCTTACGGCTGTTTATGCGCGAGATCGATTATTAAATGTCACGGCAGGTACTGTATGGCACCGTCCCGTCCCGTGAGCATATAGGTCCCAGTTCGTGATCGTTTCCCAACGATTGCGAGCACGCTCTTTGACTTCTTCGTACAGTGGTAGCAGCATGCCCTGACATTAAATTAGGTATATGAAGGCCTTGGAGTGCATTTTCCTTCATCTTTTTAGCGTAAAATACGGATTAAAATAAGCCCCTTGCAAATGTTAAAAGGGGGGGGGGCTTAAAGCGAGCCGATCATATTTATATTAGTGTTAATTAAGGTGGTTCTTTCTTATCGAAGGTTGAAATAGTCTAATATAAGTACCAATTTTTAATTTGTTAATTTATATTCCGTGCCTTTTATTTTTACGGGTTACACGCTCATTTAGGTGGCCCTGGCGAATCCTAAGGGGGTCCCCGTATATATTAACCACGCCCTGGTGTATAGGAACTACACTACGATCCAATATCTGACAAATACCTTATATTAGTGGAGCGGCACGCAGCCTATAGCGCCTCCGGCGTATCAAACGACGAGAAATTTTTGTCGAAGCGCCTGCAAGGTAGGCCGCAGTAAAAGTCCTCCTGGTATTCCTAATACGGTGAAATGGAGTATGTCTGTGCAGCGCAACCCCCGGACCATTTCCTGCTCCCTTGCTGACCACCACAATTGAGGACCAATACCATTCGGCCTAAAGGAAAGCTTCAGTCGCATCCACACATATCCAAGATATTAAAAAGTCACAATACCCCTCCCAGCCTTGCGAATGACCGAATCTTGCTCTTCCTTGCACTTTCCATGGGGAATTAGTTGTTAGTTCTGTGAAAACAACAATTTGCACATATTTATTCTCATCCAAAACCTTATGCCGATCACGAAGATGGATCAGCCAGAGATAAAAGCCGCGTTCTTATACAAATGTCTCCTTCTTATGAAAGCCGATTTCCGGCACCGAACGCAATTTGCCGCTTCAATCATAAAGACTTCGCTGATGTTGTTAATCACCATGATGATCCCAAAGGTGGCCGCCGCCAATACTTACGTCTTCACTTCGGTGCAAACAGTATCTCCAGCACAAGCAACGTCTGTCGACCAGGAAGGTGGAGACCTGGACTTTCACAACTGGGTGCAACGCGGGAAGACAATTCGCGGCGGCGATTCAGTCTCTTCCTGTTTGGCCAATCTCACTGCTGCCTTGGAGCTCGTCGGTAGTCTGAATGCTGCCGAGTATAATGGCGCAGCCGGAGCACTTAGTATCCTTCCAACTGCTGGTGCCCTTCTCGGAGCTCCGACGCGCGAAATGTGGATCGTATACAAACTCGTTCCGATCGCTGGTGTCCTCAGCATGTTACTTAGTCTAGGAGGCTCTCTTACCCCTTCGAATGTGGGCCATTATAATCCCGATGAATCGTTCTCATATGGTGGCTTTATGCCAACAAATCTGGTCACCGTGCCACAACGACAAGAGTCGCGCCCAAGCTCTCACGTAGATGATCAGCACCAGCGACCCAAGCTAGAGAGTCTGCACGGAGAACCCAAGCCACAGAATCAGAAACAGAAGCCAGATATTTCACTAAACGATATGCAAAGCTTTGCTCAAGAGGTACGAATCAGAGCCGAGGAGCCTAGCGGAGGTAGTATCTTCTTGGGAATTTGGTTCGCCATGGCGTTGCAGGTGGGCCTCATCGTGGCCCTATTGATTCCGATGTACTTCGCCCAGCAGGGGGCAGTGATTACATGGTGGTGTCGCGTACGTTTAGCATTCTTCGTCTGAACTATTCTTTCTGTTTTGCTAACGCATAAAAGGCCTGGGGCTGGATGTGGTTTTGGTATTTTCTTGTGACTGCAGTCGCTATCTTCGACAACCTCGTGGCGGCTCCATTTATGAAGAGCTGGACGATCCGAGTGTCTAAAGCACAGACTGGCTTAATGTTGGGCATAGACGCTCCGAAGATCTGGAATGCCACAGACTACCCGAATGCTTTCGAGTTCATTAAGTCCGGTCCAGGGCTAAACCGGAAGATTCGCGTCTCCCCAGATCAAGGGCTCACTTACCCACGAACATGCTTTTATGTGGTCATCTCTGTCAATCGCATCTCATCGATGCATGCTGCGGCACAAGTAATTGCCAAATGCTCCAATGTTGCCGTATTTGCGTTCGGCACAGCGCTTTTTGCCTCAGCAACTCTACTCTCTATATCTAGTGCATTGATGGTCCTTTGCTTGATCCTCCCCGCTGGTGTTGCTGGGAGAGTGATCGCCACGTGGATTGTTTCTGCTATGAGCCGCCAGAACAAGCCAATATTGCACAAGACGGTCAGGTCAGAAAATGATGCCGCCGAGTACTTTGAGGAGCTCTCAAAACTCCCCAACATTCAAATGGAGATCGACGGGCACGTTATTGTCAATGGTACTGTTGTGACCTCAAGACACAAGCTGTTCACTCCCGCAACCTACATCGGTCTCCTTGCCAAGCCGTTTGATGTGTTAGCATTAAACGACGAGATAATTCAGAGACCAGTCAATTCCAACATATACATGGCAGGGATGTACCTTTCTCGTCCTGCGTTGCCAAGTCTTCCACGTGAGTACTCTTACGTGCACAGGGCACCATCGAGTTCACCTTGGCGGAGTCAACCAAGTCCATTTATGCACGGTCAGAATTTCGATGAACGCATAGATCATACATGCTCTTGGAATAACGGCTCTGGCGCTAACAATACTGTCTACGCTGCTGGCAATGATGGTTTCGACAGTGGCAATGATCCTGATCGAGGTTAGATATAACCGAAGCTGTGAATCAAGTAAAAGTCAGGAAAGTGTGGGAAATTCACGGAACAGAGATAGTTAAACCAGTCTTGTTGAGTAGAGTATGGAGAGTTACATGCAAAGGGGACCGTCACCCTTTGCCAGATGCTAAAGCTTAACATAAATGGCAGCCCGAAGGCCGTTCTTTCCTCAAAACCCATAAACCCCCGCCAAGGTGCGCGAGACTCTGGTCAACAGGCGTCGTGAGAAGCGGGGTCGATGCGGGAGCTGTCGAAGAAAACTCTTTTAGGCGTAGACTCTCCTGACTCTTTGCAGAGAAAAGCGGGGTGTTGCACCGAGAAGACGAATTGATTCCCACCTGCCCCTTTGAGGTGCAGCACAGCCTTTAAAGACATCTAAGATGTTCGCTAAATATTGCCACCTAGTAGGTACATATGCAGATCTTTTACTGTGTGCAACCTCTGATCGGATGCGCCCAGCCAGAGCCTTCGTGCATCTGATGCGCGACTTCGCCCCTGTAGTGTTTCTCAGTGGTCACGACGAAGGATTTCAGCATTTCCAACAGCTTTTTCTTTTCTTTAAGTACTCGAATCCATGCGTTCTCCAAAAGATCAATCACTTGAGTGGTAAGAAACACCAACTGCTGGCATTATTATGGCAAGGCTGCATAGAGATGGTGGGCTGGCCTCAATTCTGATTCGTCGACATTTTAGTTGGGCGCATTTTCAACTCTTTGCAAGGCGTTATTTGTCCTTGAGAACTCCTTCGATTGGGGATGGGGAGCGTGGCGATGCAGGTTGCATACCTACAAATGCAGGCTTCCGCAGGGCATATTTTTTTTTTCAAGATTAATGCCAAGCCGACGCAGTGAGATGGGGAATAAAAACCAAACCAAATCAACTCCTACCTAAGACGGACAGCCGGATGGCTATAGCCTTTGTATAGTTTTTGATCAAATAGCATATAATATCTTTAAATATATGGGAACTATATCAATTGAATAAAAACGATGGATGATCTCCCGGTACGCTAAACGCAACGAAAAACAAAGGCTTATAAGTCCCATTTAGACCATTGAGCCACTCTAAGCTAAGCCTCCATAGCCAGCTGGCACTTTTAGTGGGCATCTCCAGCGCCCCCACATCAACAGCCTTGCCTTAATATGTACTATTAGTCCTAACATCCCCACCTCTTCTCTGGTATTCCTTAATTTTCTCTACAAAAATTTGAAATTTACTTTGCTTTAACATTCTCACATGTAGTTCTTCAGCAAACCCAGCCTTCTCCCCTTCTTTCTCGAAGAACTTGCAAGATGACTGAGAAGGCCACAACTTAAGAAACCAGGCGTTTGGATCAAGGCTACGTAGTACGCACTGCTTCAACCGAATTGCAACCAGCGGGCTCGCTGATCACCACTTAAGCACTCTCAATGCGACTTATCAACACTCATACTTTGGAGGTGATCAGCAAAAGCGACAATGACATTCCGCCCTACGCAATCCTCTCGCACACATGGGGCCGGGACAACGAGGAAGCGACGTTGCAGGACATGCTCGTCTTATTTGAGGCAGCGAAGAACGATCCAGCTGTGTTGTCGACTCATCCCATCGCGCGCAAACCTGGGTTCATCAAAATTCAGCAGACAGCCAAACTAGCCGCATCTGAAAACCGCGACTTCATGTGGGTCGACACATGTTGTATCGACAAGACTTCTAGCGCCGAACTCTCTGAGGCTATTAACAGTATGTTTCGCTGGTACCAACAAGCAGAAGTCTGTTACGCCTTTCTCAGCGACATTGAGGACTCCGATTTAGAGGACTCGGCCGATGACGATCAAATTACGCAGAGTCGCTGGTTTACTCGTGGGTGGACTTTGCAAGAATTAATTGCACCCCCTGTGGTTCATTTCTATTCTAAAAATTGGCGTTTTCTCGGCCGCAAGCGACCTGCAAGTAGATCTACTGTGCCTATTCCTTCGCCCTCTGGAAAAGAGCCGGATAGTCCGCTTGTTAGCGACCCAGATTTCCTGTCTATAATAGAGAGGGCAACTAGCATCGATAAAGACCTGCTCGACGGGTCACTAGACCTCAATGAATTTGGAGTCGCAATGCGGATGAAATGGGCATCTCGACGCCAGACAACCCGGGTTGAAGATAGGGCCTACAGCTTGATGGGACTTTTCGGAGTCAATATACCTCTTCTTTACGGTGAAGGCACGAACGCCTTCATACGATTGCAAGAGGCGATTCTACTCAGTATGACGCCCCGAATCTTTTTATAGTTCTCGAACAATACTAATAACTATTATATTAGCTACCGATGATCAATCAATATTCGCCTGGAAATGTCCAACAGGCGAGGGCGGAGACAAGCTCTCTGGTCTGCTGGCAAATGATCCTAGGTTCTTTCAATATTCTGGACATGTCAAGCCGTTGCCTTCCAATACCATTACTAGCAGTACTCCACTGGGTATAACTAGTGCAGGCCTGCGGGTGGCTATAGCTCTATTCAAGTTGAGCGACGTGGCGCCACGACAATTTAGCGCTTCAGTTGATTCTGACAACTTATTCGCCGGCGTGCTTGATTGCAGCCCCTATTTCTGGGTCGACGGCGATGAGGGAAGCATATGCAAGCCAGCCGTGGTATTGCTATGGCTCGGAGGAGACCAATTTGCTCGATTCAATGCCAGTACACTCATTCACGTAAACGCCACAGGTCTACAACACATTGATGTGAATTCTTACAAAGAAGTATATGTCAAGCAAAACCCGGCTACATTATCGCTTCCTGAAATTTATCTCAACGACCAAAAGTTGGTGGCTTCTACTCATAGAGAATATGTGATAGTCGATGTCTGGCTACCTCAAGGCCGATGGGACGAATCGACCAGGACTGTTAGGTGCAAGACGACCTCGAACTCGGGCATTATGTGTATCTTTCGCTATTCACTTCGACATCGAAACTTCCAGGATAAGCATTAGTATGATGTACCCTACCTACATCTAAAGCATTGTTATCCCCCTTAGACAGTGCCAGAAGTTCTAACATACGTTTTCTTTAGCATCGACGTCCTTGTTGGGCTGCACGATACCCTCTTGTTTAGGGCTGGCCCAGCTAAAATTTGGTGCTATGTGCAACGAGCTAGTATCGGCGATGAACGGCAGCTCCAGGCCATTGAACCACCTGATAATGTGCGTTTGAAAATGGAGCACCTTTCCATGGGTGTTCATGCACGCATATCTGTTGGGTCGGGAAAACACGCCAAACATAATAACTTCACACTCGAGCTTCAGCCGTTTTTCATGCCACAGGCGATTGACTCAGCCCTTGTCAGAACACAGTCGTCAATTCGCCACCGAACTATGAGTGAGGACCCGATGTGGCTGCAAGATCACGCCATATTCCAGCTCATTTGTGATTGGACCATTGCGACGGGCGATTCTTTCTCTGATTGTTTTCCCGAGCTCCACGAAACCGACTTTCAACCCATCCGATTTACAAGAAATCCTGTGACCGTGGTCAACAGCGAAATGCTTTTTGCTCTTGACAACTTGTACCTGGAAAGATTCTATGAATGCATTGCACTTATTGTGAAAAGAGTCGCATATGATCGTGATTACGTTCAGCACCATTCCTCCCAGGGAACTCTCGAAATCTTATCCTCCGAAAGAAGTCTCCTCAATTTTTTAGATAGTCAATCGGGGGGTCCTCCAAACTGGCATCAGCCGACACAAGGTCCTTTCCCTCGAAGCTTTGGCTCAACTTTTGTAACAAGCCATGCCAAAGGCGGAAGATTTCAGTACTATCCTGGGTATCTACGGACATCTTTAGATGATCTGCCTCCCCTTGAACTTAATGTCATACATTATGCGGTTGCTTTGAAATACAACAATGCTTTAAAGCGTCTTGTACAGTTGGATCATGACGTCGGGGCTCGATTCTACAAGACTTCCGGTTACTTGACCCCGCTCCACCTTGCGTGCATCCTGGGGAACTATCACGCATCTGAGACTCTACTTCGAGAATCGGAGGTAGAATGGGCCACGGTTCTCTCTGAAACCTCTCACTACGATCATCCTTTGTCTCTGGCTGTGTCATTTGTACGAGATCAACGGATCAACTCATTTGTGAGCTGTTTTAAAAAGGCGGTATCAATTGCTTACCCCAATTGCAGCTCGCCTTGGATTGATTATACGCGAAACCCATGGGGCGAAACTTCTCTTCATCGTGCAGCGGCCGTGGACAATATCGAGGGTTTGCAGGCAATAATATTTCAGCTCCCAGGGAATGATCACGATGGTCTCGACTATATCGACAGGAAGGGTCGGACTCCCCTGTGGCATGCAGCAGCGTCCGGGTCTTTTAGAGCTTTATCTCTACTCCTGGATTGGGGTGCCGACGCTAATGCTCGAGATGTTCACGGTGTCAGTGCTCTACATGCAGCTTGCAGGGCGCCGTTTAACCCAGCTGGGCTCGTTAAGGTCCTGTTATCGCGGGGGGCAGATCCTAATGTTCATATCGTTGTAGACTCACCTTTGAGGAACGCCCCGCCGATACTAGTAAGCCCATGTTTCTATGCGGCTATGCATAATGGCTCAGATACCCTTCAAACCCTCTTGGGATGCGGGGTGTCGCTTGATACTCATCAGTCACATGGCAACATCAGCCCGTTGCATATAGCGGCCGCCAATGGATATCTAGAGTGCGTTAAGGTGTTGCGTAGCGCTGGATTTGACGCAGAGGTGCTTACACCCTATCGCTTATTAGTTGTCATTGATAGGGAGGCTGAAGCGGTTGAAGCTGGGAATCAAGAGAGACTCGATCGGTGGTTGGAAGGGAGGTTGAACAAAAAGAAGATAGGTGAAGCTAAACCTGGGAGGTTTAGCAGGTTTCTAAGGCGTCTCGGCAAAGTTCAAGAAACGAAGGCAAAGGCGCTATCGGATCTTGAAGTTATTGAATTTGACTTGGGAAAGATAAAATCCGGGCCTAGGGAGATAGCTCCTAGAATCAAGGAGGCGAAACTGGAAACATTTCCTTTTGGGGAGGAGAAGACTGCATTGGATTTGGCAACAATTGGAGGTCATCATGATGTGATGGGGTTCCTTAACACTTAGAGGTAATTCGAGTGCTTACAAATGAAATCACTAATGCTGTTGCGTCTGCGTTTAATCAATTCATGACATAACTTTCCATGATTAACGTGGCTTTGGCAACGTCACATCATCAGTTGTTGAAAAGCCTATTTTGTGCGATTTATTATCTTTAGATTGGATAAAGGAACCCATACCCCGGAGTGTGGTTGAGCACACCGACCAGCACCATGGCGTTCAAATAAATATACAGGGACTCCTGGGGATTACACCACTTGATCAACACATAGGTACATACACACTGCACATGGGAGTGCCCCGCAGCTATGCAGATGCCTTGCTCTCGCTGTTAGGTGAGCCACAAACGTAACGCGTTTGTTGCAAATTAGCAAAGGAAATGAAGACAAATGGCACGCTGAAGAGGCTAAATTTAAAAGTTTGTGTCACATTGCCGAAAGATGACATCCAATCCATGCCGGTTACCCCCTTTTTTTTTTTCGGTTGCGGCTGACGCCCTGCATTGATAGGAGATTATGCCGTTATGAAGATGAGCTTTAGGGCCAATGAGCTTAGTCCCTGTACTGTTCTTGGCAATATTACGTGCATTTGGCCCCCAAGTCATGCTGCTGCCCTGTGTATGAGCTGGAGGCTGAAGTTGTTTTTCCCCTTGCAGGGAAAAAAAAAAGATTGGCGCACACAATAAGGTAAAATGTCGTCTTGGTAGGAATCCTGCAGCGCTATTTATCATGTGCGACCCGATCCGAGGTGCATGGATTCGCCAGCGCAGAAATGTAGTGATCATATTTTCTGCTGTTCAGTTCATTTACGGTGATCCCGTTTCATCATCGATGCCTACAGAATGTCGCGCTCTTTAGACATTTCCAGGACGAAAAGTTTCGAGAGCTGTACTAGGTCCAACTCCGACAGTCACTTACATGGAGTGAAAGAATGGCAAGTCAATCGGATCTGGATCGAATCGAGTCGCAGTGGATTTGTGGACGCACAAATAGGCACCTTCGGCAAAGGAGACGGCAGCAACATCCTAGAGAGGCTGGCGGAACGAAATGACTCGACAAACCCATCCGCCGAGAGCCTGCTTCGTATTGGTCATAAACCACCATTTTCCAGTAACGAACCTGTGTCGCACCAATCTTTCAATTACAGGCCGAGCCCCTTGCGCGACTGGTACCAAGGAGTGGTTTTCATCGCAATCATCACACTACTCTGTCTAACAGCTGTGGCTGTGGGGACCCTTCCAAATGAGAGGACAACATTTGCCCCCTTCATTGAAGTTGAACCAACGAATAAAAATTCTGTCAAAAACCGAGGACTGGCGGTTGTGGGTGACTACAAACAATCAGAAAACTACGTCTATGCCAGATATTCCGTTAATCCCGAAGAATCTGTGGGCAGCGATCTCATGAGACGCGACGTAGAATGTACTACAACGGTCTACGTTGGCAAGAGCAAAGAATCGACCACACAAGACACAACTGCTTTTGTTCCTTCATATACTGGTGCTTACGAATGTGTTCAAGTTACACTCTCATGGAGATGGGTCTGCCCAGGATGTACGGGTGATTCTGGTGGCTATATCAACATTGGAAGCAATACGATAACAGTAATGCCAAGTACTCGAGCGCCAACAAATGTGGCTTCTACAGCTCAAGTTCTATCTGGTGCAACGGCAACGCGGACTGCAGCGGTACCACCGACAACTGAAATTTCGACTACTCGAATTACGTCACAGTCCAAGAGCGAGACGAAAGATCCCCAGACAAGCAAACAATCTACAAATGGAGGAGAAGAAACAACTCGCAACTCTGTACTAGCAGCGACAGAATCTAATGGCGCACTTCAAATATTGCCGTCTGGAGACGTGGGCACAAGCGAGGTCAGCATTGATGGCTCTATGGCTACTACAACTGGTGTCATTCGAACCACGATGATCAATGGCTCCCCAACCATCATAACAGATAGTGTCCGGACCACTATAAACAGCGGTTCACTTGCAAGCATGACTGATGTCGTCCAGACAACAGTTATCGATGGCTTGACAGCAACCATGACTGGTGGAGTCTTGACTGCTGTATTCGATGGTTCTTTGACAACTATCGTTGACGCATCGCAAGGACTAAGCACAAACGTGATTGACGCACTAGTGCGCTCTACCTATACTACGGCATTCACAAATAGCGATGGCACGCTGACGACACAATTGGTGTACGTGGCTGATATTTTGATGGGGACTTTATCGGGGACTTTAACGGGTAGCCAAGGATCTCAAACAAGGTCTGCCCTCACCTTGATTACAGATTTCCCCGCGAGCTCATCCGTTAGTCCCAGCAGTTCGAGCTCACCCACTACACCTCCGTTAAATTCCGACCCAGGTTATAGCGGTTCGCCGACTGATACCAACGCCAGCTCAGGGACACCAATGCTACAAGTCTACGTTGTGACCGAGGGCCAGTACTTTGTCGGCCTCTTTTTGCCTACCTTGTTAACTACATTTCTCGCGATACCGTTGCGCATAATGGACTTTAATATCAAGCTTTATCGACCCTTCCACAATCTTCTCTCAAAGGATGGCACCGAGGCATCAAGATCATTGTTGCTGCCGACGACTGGGTTATCGAGTTACTTTCGCGCCAGCGACAAGATCACTCGCTTAACTGGAGCATTGATCACTTTTAGTGCCATTCTGATCCCGATAAGTGCTGAAGCTGTCCATATGGTCCTTCATCGTGGTGATGGTTGTCAATCTGGCCAAGGAAATGCATACAACTGCGCCATGACCTTGGGCGCCAGCACCGTGCCCGCCTATATCACAATTGCTCTTTTGTTAGTCATGGGTATTCTTATCATATCGGTATGGTACCACCTCCGAAATTACCACACTGGTATTCCCGGAAAACCATGGAACTTGGCATTCATGTCCAGCTTCTCGTCGGATCCAAAGATCCAATCGTTGGTGTTGTCAAAGTTGTGTGCAAATGCAAAGCCGCTTAAGCGAAAAGATCTACTCCAGGTCTTGGACCCCTGGCTGTACATAATAGAATCTCAGACAAAGGCTACCAGTGGTTGTAAAGTCGCGATATTCGACAAACGTCAAAATCAAGGCAAGGATGAGAGGAAGAATCTTGTTCTTCAAAAAAGCCTGAGCGAAACCAAGGTTCAATCCAGTAAAGCCCGAGGTGCACCATCCTTCGTTCTTACGCCACAGGGCAGAATTCTCATACTGCTATTTATTACTGGAGTTTTCTGCTTAGTTGTAGCGTACGAGCCAGAAAGGCCCGCCAACGGTTTTGAAAATTTCATGAACAGTGAGAGCATTGGCGTTCGGTTCCTTTTTTCAGGTATTGGCATAGCATTGACTCTAATATGGGCATCATTCTTCCAAGGCAAGTCGTATATATCGCCGTCTTCGAGGTTCATGCTAACCATGACCAATAGGTATCGCTTGGCTAAGCCCGTATAAAATAGCTTCGAGGGAACTACCCCCAGCACTAGCACAAAAGACTCTTGAACTGACTCTACCGACAAATCCATTCAGCGGCTTGTATCGTGCTATCTCGGGCAGCCATCCTGATGCATACCTCGGCATTGTGTCTCTTGTCGCGATACTGGCGCAAGCTTTGCCGACACTCTTGGTCAACGTACCTTTTAGGATGGTAGAGACGTACAAGACCCACGAGATATGTCTGTGGTCTGCCGGTGCTGTCATGGCAGCAATGATTTGTACGGTAGTGGGCTCCTTCTTTGTCGAGCTCCCTCGCATGGCTGTCGACCCCAGCACTGTAGCCGGTGCCATGTATTATGCAACCGTGGATAGGACTGTGTATCACAACAAAAGAGACTACCAGAAGTTTGCATTGTGGAACAAATGAAATCGGGCAAATTGAATAATAGACAATTGTAATTTTGATTCTTTATCATCGTCAGTGTAAATATATATAAAGCATGCTTGGCACGACTTGTGATTTCGCCGATAAAAACCGGCATGAGCCGAGCCGACACGAGCAATGTAAATGATGTTCCCCGTTTAAGCCTCGGCACAGGGCAGCCTTGTGCGCTAGTCCCGCCCAGACCAAAAGGTAGCGGTATTTGCCGCCGCAGCTAGGAACTAAATTTCTTTTCTTTCTTCCTCCTTCCACTTGGTTACCTGCTAATTGTAAGGTAGCATAACAGCTACCATCCTTCACCCCTACATTTAAGGCCATTCTCCCCAAAGTCTTGGTTTTCCAACGAATTTGGTCATAATGAGTGGTACTGAATTAGTGATCGCTGTGCAACCTCAGTCTGCTATACTGGATCTAGGCCCTGATAGCCGTAGAATGACGCAGCAACTTCAATATATGGAGGATGACTCAGCAAATGGGAGGTGGCCGGGACGAGAGCTCGCACCTGTTGACCGAGGACCAGCGGCATGGAGGCTGCTCGGCGCTGCATTTGTGTTTGAGACATTATTATGGGGTGAATTTCTCTACCTAAAGTATTTGGATCCAGTCAAGACAGCACTAATGAAAAATGGTATTCATAGGTTTTCCCCTCTCGTTCGGAGTCTTTCAAAATTATTACTCCACACTTCCAGAATTTGCCAGTAACCGCTATATTTCAGTCGTCGGGACTGTTGCATCAGGCTTCGGCTATCTCGGAGCACCGTTTATTATGCCTTTCATTCAGCGCTATCAAAGATGGCGCCGTCAAATGATTTGGATTGGATGTATGTCCCATAGCATGATGTTAAAATGTTTGAACGCTCGATCTAACTTCTTGAAGGGCCAATCTGTCTTATTGGGCTTGCTCTTGGATCTTTCGCATCCACCTTGGAAATGCTTATCCTTACACAAGGAGTTGCTTATGGTCTTGGCTTCCTTATCTTCTATTACCCCATCCTCAGTATGGTCAATGAGTATTGGATCGCACGACGAGGCATGGCTTATGGTGTGCTGTGCGGTGCCTCGGGCGTGTCCGGCGCCTTTATGCCGTTCGTCCTCCAAGCATTATTAGCCAGATACGGCTATAAAACAACGCTTCGCGCAGTAGCACTGGCTTTGGCATTACTGACGGGTCCTCTAATACCCTTCCTCAAGGGCCGTTTGCCGCCTCCAGAGCGATCAAGTATTCCCAAAATCAACTGGGAATTTCTCCAGAACCCAGTATTCTGGCTATATTCGACTTCAAACCTTTTACAGGGATTCGGGTACTTTTTCCCGGCTTTGTACCTGCCTTCTTATGCCTCCGCCCTAGATCTTGGCAGCAAGACTGGCGCACTCATCTTGGCACTAATGAGCGTCTCTCAAGTCGGTGGCCAGTTTATTTTCGGCCTCCTTTCTGACCGCAAGGTACCGCTTGACGTTCTGGCTTGTTTATCAACTGTAGTGGCAGCGCTTGCTTGTCTTTGCATGTGGAGACTGGCCACGTCGCTCCCACTTTTAATCGCCTTTGCTATTATATACGGGTTCTTCGGCGCCGGATTCACTGCCATCTGGGCGAGAATGAGCACGACTATAACGGGAGACGTGACAGCAGGACCAATTGTCTTCACGTTGCTTAACTTCGGTAAAGGTATCGGAAATGTGCTAGCCGGACCCATTGGAGGACTTTTAGTTTCCAATGCAAAGTCTTCCGATGTTTCATCATCGTCAAATTATCACTGGATTATCATCTTCATAGGCGTTTGCATGTTTGCCAGCGCTTGTACGGTATGCTCCAAATATTTGAAGCATCTTTGGATTCTGGTCGTTTTATAGAATCACTATACAGGGCAAGCGACATGGTATGCATACGATTCAAGGTATCCTAAGGTAGACTCTCAAACGCTTAACGGGCAAATTAAATTAGCTCGAGCCCGATGCTCAAGCTGGCAAGGGTTGACGACTGCTAAATAAGACAGGAGGTATGAACAATTCAAAAGCATTTAGGTGGGAATAAGACGCCACTCAAGAAGTGTAGAATTATCTGGGTACGTTACAATCTATTAGTCTTTATAAATTTCTTGATAAGTCTTTCCTCCTAGATCTGTCCAACCTGGTAGACTTTTGCTATTCATATGTCTTTGATCGATTCTCATGTACATAATTATATACTACACTGCTGGATTCCGTTGCCGTTGATGATTTTCTTTCCCGATGCTCACCAACGACCAACCATCTGCCCTGTGCATCCTCCGCGCCAATTTTTGGACCCCAAAGACTATGCCGTAACCCAATATGGCAATGACCATGACGCATAGCAACATGTAGCTTAGGCTGTACCGACTCTGGGAGGCCAGCGTGACATCTGGCGAGCACGTGCCCGTAAACTGGGTCAACTCGTCAAACGGGCATTCCATGTTCCTCTCGACGGAATTTCCAGGGTTGGGAAACTTGACGCAGCTTCCCTTGTTTCGAGTCCAGCAGCCGTTGCCATTATTGGCCTCGAAGACCAGAGGGGCTTTGTTATACTGGTCTTCCAAAATGGCGTCGGGAATATCGACACCCTGATCGTACCCCATGATCATGACTGGCGCACAATTCATGAACATCTCGGGCACGCTCCACCTTCCGTACCATGTCCAGGCCATGACTGCCGGCCCGATGGGCAGCCAGGGAGGCACTGTAAAGTTATAGATACTAGGTAGCAGCACCGTCGGCGAATCCCCGTAGTTCACTGCTGTGAGGTTCCGGATCGGACATCCGCCTTCAATAGAGTGTATGACTCTGAACTTGCTCTGCCGTGTTGGCTTCAGATCCGTGGTAACAGATATCTGGCAGGAGCCACCGCCGTGTGATGCACCTCCCATGGCTCTGGCAAGACTTGTCAGTAGAGTACAGCTAAGACGCACGTTAGATCTAGGGATCCTTACTGTAGATGTTGCTGAGACCCGCGTTCCCAGATGTTAGAGATGCCGCTCCAGTCATATTCAGTCTCGCCCGAACATGGCCAGTTCGATCCATCCTTTGCCATCGGGCCATTGTCCATGAGTTGACTGGGGAAGGGAATAGGGTGTTGCATCAGAGTGTGCGCATATACATGGCTGAAGAAAATGCCCAGACAGGGTGCGATCCTCGCAATCAGTGACATAACCATCTTGTCCGATACCAGGGTCCAGAAACCAGTATCGTGAAAGAACAGTGTCTGTAGTTACTTTGTGATTTATTCCTAGGGGAGAGTTTGAATGGGGTTAATAAAGGCTTCAAAAAAAGTCAGACGGCTCAGATTTGAAATTGACTTAGTAGAGGGCATCGAAATACCTTGTGGCCCACGTGCGAGCTTAACTGCCGCTCTAAACTCTCGTGAAAGCTCGTCCATATCCCTGCCGATCGTGTTGCCGTAAGATTGGTGACAGGGGCCCTAGCCCGGTACGGGACGTTGCTGCAGAAAGATAGAGTTACAGATTAGAGTTCGGGTTGTGGGCCTGGTAAATTAGCGAGTGGATACCCAGCGGTGATGCCCAGCAATGCGATGGCCTAGACCTACTTGGTCCCATGGGTGTTGCCGACTCGCAAACTGTCTTGCCCGACGAGGTAGGTCTAGACAGTTGGTTGTAGATACGTTCGTCCACGTCAAGAAGTATTTAACATTCACTTCCGGCAGGGTCTCGGCGGTTGCTTTCAAACACTCTGAAGTACATAGTCACTCCGGCCCCTTGTTAAATCCAGTGTTGAGCGCATCATTCATCATGGCCTTCCGGACCACCGTGGGTAGAATAGTCTTATTCGGATCCGTCCTCACTTTTGCTACCGTGCAATATGTTCATAGCCAGAGGCCGGTACCGTTGCTGGAGAGGCTGTTGCGCCCACTCGCGTTTCTCTTTTTGCTCAACTACACTTGGACGATCCTCCGATGGATCACCTACGAGCCCCAAGCTGGTATCACAGACGACGACCGGCTGCCACGCATCGACGTGGTTATTCCGGCTTACAATGAGTCTGCCTTCATCAGAGAGTCCATGAACAGCGTCATTCACTCCAACTACCCTCAGCAGAAGATCCACTTAATTGTTGTCGACGACGGGTCAACTGATGATACCTGGTATCACATCGTTGCAGCCTCTAAGAGCGCTCTCGACATCCAAATGAAATGTACAATCAAACAACATGAGCAAAATGCCGGCAAGAGGCAGGCTTTGGTCACGGGATTCAGTCAAGGAGACCATGAGGTTCTCGTCACGCTCGATTCGGATAGTACCTTGACCCGAGATACTCTCCGCAACCTCGTGACTCCGCTCGTCCTGGACCCCAGAGTCGGGGGCGTGGCTGGCCATCTATCTGTGGCGAATACAGGGAACCCGAGACATCACAGCTTCCGGTTCTTGATCCCACGTCTGCTGGAGATTCTGTTCCAGTACGGCGGTAATATCCCCCGCTCCGCGCAGACGAAGTCTGGCTTTGTCGTCATTCTACCAGGAGCGAACTCGGCGTTCCGGCGAGAAGCTATCAGGCCACACATTGCCACGTTGAACAACCAAACGTTCCTCGGTCATCCTTTGCGCCACGGCGAGGACATCGAGTTTGCCATGAAGCTGCTCCAGGACGGCTGGCGGACTGTATACCAGAGCAGCGCCATCGTCTCCACCACAGCCCCGGAGACGGCTTACAAGGCTCTTTTGATGTACATCCGCTGGGAGCGCAGCAGTTACACATATCTGCTCCTCGGCCTCCTACACCTGACATACCAAGAGGCTCGGCACGTACTGAAGAACGCCGTCTGTCACTTGGGGAAAAGTCCCATGCTGTTACCTACGTCGGCCAACAAGCCTTGCGAGGAGGATGCGAAAAGGATGGTCGTTGGTGGGCATGGAGATCTGTACCCCATACTGAACCTCATATGCACAAGCTTGTCGAGTATCACGTACATTGGAATTGTGGTTCTACGTTTCTTGTCTTTTGCCAAGGAACCTTGGATAGTGAGAACTGATTTTTGGTGCTTGATAGTGCTTGCCTTATGGAACAGCCTGCTCTTCATTCCTGATGCATTACAAGATGACTGGAACAACATGAGGTCAGCGGAGGACGATGGGACCGAAGGGCAGGAGGTCGAGGCTTCTGATAATAGGCGATTAAAGCTCGTTTGGAAATTACAGTACGCAGGTCTATCGGCGATCTTTCAGACGTTCTTCATTAGCTGGGCGACGGTAATAGGTATGGTGACGTTGAGGAGCCAGAATTGGCTCACTAGATAGGTCGAATAGTTGGGTCATACGGAGGCCTCCTCCATGCAATCATTATACAATCCACAGAACCGTGAGCGTTGTCTTGAATACGAGACTTGGCTCAGCTCATCACTATAACACAGATTATCTTTAACCAACTTCAGAATATGGTTTGATAATGCAAAGGTTATCCTGCATATGTGCTGGAGCTCAGCCACGTTCTCACAGTATTCTATTGAGACTAATACGGTCTCAGTACCCATGTGCACCTTGTGATGTATGACCCCAGTGGAGTAATGATAGCGGAGATTGCAGCGGAAAATGGCGGCAATAATTTACTGATACATGGAACCGCACCCTTGCTACCTAGGCCAAGGCAAGCCAAGGGTAGCGTGTTGGATATGAGATGATACGAAGTCGGTAAAAGTATAAACTAGGTCGAAACCGCGAGAGCCGTCCCCGTCCTATATTACCCACCGATAAGGGGTCCAACCTGGACGGGATTTAGCTCGAAAGAGCCTATGAGTGACATAGGGCAGGGGATTCAAGTTAAGTCCCACCTGGGGACTGGAATATAGATGCCATTGTCCATTCTCGCAACGACCGACAAACCAACTCATCTCCAAGACAGACAATCAGAATGGACGCCAACAGTGACGTACAATTCGAGAAGTTGGGGCTATATATTCGAAAATGTACAGTGAGCATTAAAACAACGGCAGCTATAGACGTGTACTAAAACGAGGTGCAGGTTCCCGGGACAGTAGCCCTGACCTTCGACGACGGGCCATGGTTCTTTACCAACTACGTGATGGACTCTTTAGCGAGATACGGCGCGAAGGCGACCTTCTTTCTCAACGTCTGGCCACACGTGAATGTGAACACCAGGCCGGAGTACTGGCAGCCGGTCGTGCGTAGGATGCTCGCTGAGGGCCACCAGATCGGCATCCACACCTGGGGGCACGAGAACCTGGACACGCTCACGGACACGGAGAGAATGGCTACAGTGAAGAAGGCTACTGACTTCTTCGCGCAACCAGACTTTCTGAATGGGACACGGCCGATGTACATTCGGCCGCCGTTTGGCGAGTGCAGTGTAGAGACGGGGTGCGTTGACATATTCACAAGGGCGGGCTACCGCTTGGTATTTTGGGACTGGGACTCCAATGACTGGAAGCATGACGCCGGGGATCTCGCGTATCTGACGACCGAAGGCCTGCAGGAGAAGCTGGACACCCTGACGCCTGCGGTGGACAACCTCCTGGTCCTGATGCACGATAACCGTGTGCAGACAGCCATGAACGTGGAGGACTTACTCGGAAGGATAACGAAAGCGGGGTTCACGCCCGTCACAGTTGGCGAGTGCATCGGCGACGCCAAGGAAAACTGGTACAGTGCATCAATAGCAAATTCGACGACTGCCGATCTTGCTCACGATCAGTTGGAGGTAACGCATCAAGCACTCAAGACCAAGGGCCATGCAGAGGTCTTTAGTCTTCTATTACTGATGGCCATGAGCATTGGCGCAGTAATTTGGGCTATGCGACGATTCAGAGTGCTTCGGAAGCAGGTTCTCAAACTCAAACTCCGTAAACCACTGCAGACAGACGAGAAGCATGGCGAGGAAAGCGGCCTCTTGATCTAGCTTCTCGCCAATAGATCACTTCGACACAGCTTGTGCGCACTTCTTAGTCAATGAGTCAGATTATGCCTTGTCCCTTGGTTTCGATATGCTTGGAAATGATTTCATTGGAGGCTTGGCGCTGGTCACCACTTGTGGTATAATGAGAAGCTAGAAAGCGCAATCGTGACCTCAGTAAAGGGGAATTCACTGATGCAATTGTGCTCAAGACTTGGTTCGAAGGTCATATTGTGTGGGATATCACAGGAGAGTACAGAACATTTGTATAATGCTTCAGACCGCATAATTATTGAGATATTCCCGGACTGACTGAGACCGAAGGCTTGATCATGACTCACTTGTCAGTGACCAAATACTCGAACGAGAATCTTCGTTCACTATGCAATCAATATGCTACACTCTCTTTCGCCCTGAAACCGCCGTAGCGAGGTGCGTGCGGTACTTGCATCTTGTAAATTGACAGCCCATATTCAAGCCAACTCTGGTGGTAGTATAGTTGTTAGCACAAGTGTTTTGGTAAAGAAGTATGTAAAGGTGCAGCATACTTATTGCATACGCCTCGTTGGCCGTTACTAGCCTCAGAGTGGTGAATTTTCATCAAAGCAATGCTTCTTTTTCTCTACCCATTTTGTGGCAATCAGGAGACAAGAAGACGTGGTTGAAGTCTCTCTCTGATAATCCGGAGGACCACAATAGAACTACTGATGGAAGGCGACCCACGTTGATGCCCTAACACTGGAGGTTATTTTGTCTCCTGTACCTGGCAGTTTGATAAACCGATGATCTGGGAAAAACTCCAATGCAACATGGTACGAGTTCCAACGTCATGCTTCCACCAACACTTTTCTTTCTGCGCATCCCCGGCTTTCTTGAGCTTTGCACATGTTGACTCCCAAGGACGAGGCAATAACATAGATCACATTCCATTGATCGATGTGAAGTAGCAATCGATGGATAGATAGACTAAATCATAACATTTGGATCACTCGAAGAACACTCTGAAAAGCGGCGTAATAAGACAAATGCGGATTGCAAGCGTCAGCTTGCCTATTCAGACGTGAAAAGTATAAAACAGAATGCTATAGCCATGGCGGACCGTTTGCGTGCGAGTGAGAAATTTCGCCAGGTTTCGTACACGAGTTTTCTAACGAGGCTAACGAAAGTGCAGCGGTCTGCGACGTATAGTGTGGGATCATGAGACTTGTACATTTATGATAATGTCTGTAGAAGATTGAACAAGGAATGCGGTTGCAAATTGCCACCGCGCCCTTCAATGCGTGCTTGCGCCGCCTGGCAGCTGCCAATGCCAAGGTCTCATAATATGGCATATTCGGAGTTTGGCCCCAGTGTGACTGAAATAGAACCTTATTATATACTTGGCATTTAGTCAGCTTCACCAAGTTCAATTGGTGTGGAAAAGCTGACAAGCAGCAGTGGCGGCATTCAGCTGACCAAACCCGGTGCGACAGGACCCCTTAGCGTACGGGATAGGAAAATCGTATCCCATGCGAAGCACCAGACCCACTGCTTTCTTGAGCTCTGAACATGGTGACTCTCACGCCCCATTAACAGCTCGGGTTCGTATACATTTTACAGGGATCGACACATACAACAGCAGCCGCCTCACCCTATACATCTACCGTAAGCATATACTTAAGGCGCATCCTTCCAATCCAACGAGCGGACTATTGACCTGGAGTGTCCAATCATCGTCTCTACCACGGAGATCGATTTACAACTTAACCCGTAGCCATGGCCCAGATTGGTTTCCGGCAAGCCAAAACAAAGACATATCCATATTTCAATCTTGAATAAGACACGATTCCAGTTCTCTTAAAAAATTCCGTCGAAAACGGGTTCCCACCTTTGCGGTGGCAAAATTCAGTCTGCAGTCTTTTTATTTTAACCTGCGGACAATCAATCTAAAACTTGCTGTTTCTCCTGATCACGCGAGACTTGCAAATTGGGTTTTTGCCTGTTCTTTCTTGAACCGAAAAAAAAAAAGAAAGAAAGAAAAAACGCCATGGAACTAGCTACTCTCTCCATGGCCCAATGGGCAGCTGTGAGCCCTGCCCTTACCTATTTGATCGTCTCCTCCTTTTATGAAACCCTCTATCACTTTAATGCATTTCCACAATACTGCCTGGTCCGGTCCGAAGAAGAAACCAGGAGAACTCCGGTACCAAAACTGCGTGTATTGCAATATGTCGCGTCATACAATATTGCAATCACGTGTGTACTTCTAGTATTACCTGATGTGACGCCTTCCTCACCAAAGAATGCATACGACGTCACATTCGTCGCACAGCTCGAAAGGCTTCCACTTGGCGACTTCATTCTTGGCCATGGTCTTGCACTTTCATGTCTGACATGGTTATTTACGTCAGCTTTGTTCTGCTTGCGCATGTTCCTAGCTTTCGTGGTCCTGGACACATGGGCGTTTTGGTGCCATTGGTTCCAACATAAGAACGCATGGCTGTATCGTATGTTGATCGATCTTCTTTCGTCATTATCGAGTTGACAAGAAAGCTTCAAGTACTGATTTCACGCAGGTAATACGCATGCTTTGCATCACAAGATACATGCCCCTTATGCCTTCGGCGCCTGGTATAATCACTGGGCCGAGAGTCTCATAGTTGACAGCTTCGGAGGTCTCTTGGCCGTGACCATCATCGGCCTGTCCGATATGGAGCAGGTGATTTTCTTTGCAAGCGGCACTGCCAAGGCTGTAGAGGATCATAGCGCTTATGTCCTGCCATGGAGTCCATTTACGATCATTGGACGATGGACCGGAAATGGCGTCGAGTATCACGATACGCACCATCATCCGCGCAAAGTAAAGGTGGGTTCTCTGGGTGAATGTGCATCAAGTTGCCCACGAACTAACAGTTGCGCAGTATAACCTGCAGATATATTTCACTTGGTGGGACAGTCTCATGGGTACAAACTACGCCGAGAAGCGCATCGCCCATGGAAAGGTTAAACATTAAAAGCGAACTTCTGCACTTCAGGTTTCCAGAATTGCGTGTGTGCTTTTCTTCCTGCTTGTACATTAATAGCACGATTCCCATGACGGCTAGACACAGCCGATACCAAGTCAAAAGGGGGCTTCGATAACACGCACTGATCATCTCGTCGCTGCGACATGTAAGTATAAATACCCCTGAATCCTCTGGCGGCAGGTCCGATACGTCATTGGACGAGGCTGTCTGTGTTGCTCTCACCTGGGCTGAGATGGAGTGGAATACTGTGACCGAAAGAGCATAAGAGGATGCTCGAGTTCATATAATGATCGGAGAAAATGAGATGATCAAGAGCTATCTAATATACCCGCCCGGGTGATTTGTGGTGGGTACTTACTACGTCAGCGCAGCATTGTCATACACAACAATGACTTAGTACCAGCGTACAGGCCAGGATATAGGACTAATATGGTTGAATATAGCCCGTGTCTGCATGCTAAATTGAGAAGATAGTCTTATAATCCCGTCCATCTGATGTTCTTTGGCGTGGCTCAGAAGGCAACAATTACTTTGATCCAATCTGGGTGTATCCCCGAGATCCGTGTTAACGTGTTTATGATTTCACGAACCTTGTAGATGCTAAAAGGAATACCGATGAATGACTTGAAAAGTGACAAATACCTAAGTGCCATATGACACAGCACAAGCTATCGATTGCAGTCTTGAAGATTGCTTACAATACCAACATCCACCCGCATTTCTAGGAACACTACCAAGTATTCGTATTAATTCATAGATTTATTTCCACTTGGTTTCAGTTGATAAAATGACAGCATATTCAACGCTGTGGATCATTCCTCTCCAGATTGGACTATGCGCCAAATCAGGTCACTCCACCTTTTGAAGTTTTTGTATCATCATATTAAGTTAGGTAGCCTTTGCTTCCATCTTTTGTACTTAGCCGACGTTATCAAAGAAACGACCAGCACGATTGTAACCAGTGGTAACGCCACAGAAATATAAACTGCGAAACTTCCATGACCAGGTAAAAAGCGGTCTTGCATGCTAAATATGCCTGAGACGAATGTGAGCGGCAAAAATACCAGGCCAACATAGGTCAGATACCGCACATTCACAGCTTCGTTGACGGAGATCCGAGTGTCAGCAAGCTGTACAATTGTAGATGCGACTGGGAGTATCAATTCGAATGACCGGCTATGATACTCAACTCGAGTTGACAGATAACGGAAATCCTCTCGCAGTGTTGTATATGCCGAAACACTTCCAAGACCTGTCATATCTGATCCTAGGTCGAGGTGCTTAGCTAGAAACAGCTCCACCAGATGAAGTTTATGGAGACTCTGTTTGCTGCGACGCCTCCATCGCTGTAAATCGACGATATCGGTTTCCATGGAGCGAGGCTCGCATTTTCCAAAGGAATACTCGTAGGACTTGACATAACAGCTCATAAGCTGAGTGTAGAGTATCCATTCAGCTGCGACTATCCTTAGAAGGTAGTAACCAAGTGTTATCACTGTTGGATTACTTGGATCAAAGCTGGGAGGTGGTGTTTGGTAGTAGTGTAAGATATTCTCGAGAGTAGAAGTTCTTTGTTTGCAAGTCTTATCATTCGCTGCTGAGCAGAACTCCGAGAACTTTTGGCCTTCAGAAAAATCTTCAAATGCGCCTTGCAAAGGTACCTGCGGGATTCGGTGGGGGTACTGTTCCTGATGCGATCCAGAAGGACCAGGTATATTTAGATCTGCATTTGTAGGATCAACGAGCACTATGCCTATCTAGAAACATTAACGGCAAATACCATCATCATTGGATGGTGCATAGGACTTACATATCCAAGACTGGTTATCTATGATCTTCAGCAAAATAGAGCAACAGCTCCGAACCAGGCCCGGCTGTAAACCCGAGAGCGGCGCAAGGCGTCTGACTGAACGCGGTATATTACCCGAGCTTTTGAACTCATATGGACTCCGTGAGTCCAATGAACAAGGAAGTTTGATTGCCCGTTGGTAATGCAGATGTAGTGAATTGTTCGTGGTAAATTGGGAGGGAAACAGTGCCACTGACGGAGGGGCCGGTGCCAAATCGATGCCCTTGAATGAGGTACTCAAATAACTGGCAAAGAATAGTGGGCTGATGTCCATGAATGCTCCCAACTGCTCAATTGATTGAGAATTGATGTCTTCTATGCATATGACTCGTCTGATGCACTTTCCCGATGGATCTTTGGCGACAGAGGATACCTCTGAGAGACATGCATCTAGCTTCATTGTGTTCTGTACTGCTTTCGTGCCAAGCTCAGGGGGAAAGTCAATGCAGTGAACAAGCTTACTGTCGAACGACTTATAAGGGCTAGAGAGAAAAGCTGCAAGTTCACTGAAACATGGGTTTCGATGGACTTGTGCTTCCACAAACTCGCGATAAGATGGATGCATGTCAACTATCTAGAGTGGACAGGGATGAGAGACAATCAAATGCGGATAATTAAGAATGACATTAGATCGGATTATATGGTTCACGATAAACAACCAGGAAGCGATGGAAAAACCCCGAAGAATTTTAAGAAAGGACAGATGCGTTAATAGATTGCTAGTAGCTAAATCTTTTGCTCGCTCGCTCACCCTTCTAGTAATCACAGATCCACTAACCTAGCTGCCTCAGTGCCGATCCCCAGCGGGTCCCCCAACCAATATACCGTGACCAACGCTGGGAATAAGCCAAATGAAGTTAAGTGTACCGCCGCGACACACTCACTTGGCCAGGTCGAGTCGGGCCTGGTGGCGATTCAGCTTCTTCCCAAATCGGATTTGAGGCTCTGGTTTGCGACCAATCAGAGCGCGTAAATCAAGAATACGTGGGGGGTCTGGTAGGGAATAAAAAGAATTATGTCCAGCGCTTACCTATGGGCCTGAAAATGCAGTCCAAGTATAAGTAGGTTGGAGCCAAAAAGTCCTTCTGCCTAAGTATAGCAGGGATTCGGGGCTCGCTCTTTCAGACTGGGAAGCATTCAAGTGTAAATATAACTACAGGGTTTGTTCTAGGCAATGATGGTACCGTAAGATTGGGGGCGTTGGTGCGGGTATTCCCGAAGGGCCCAATCATAGCCCTGTTACCTTATGCAATACACCCTCTTTTCTTACCATAATTCGTATGCCCCTGTCTTCCAATTTAGTGGCTGGATCTGCGCAGGATTTCGGTGTACATCACGTACTTTGATCAGGCAGCATTGACACGCTCAGCTTTTATAAAAATTGCCTTACCAGGCGTCAGGGCATTTTGATGGAGGTCTTTATGCCACCCACCCGTTCATCGCCTTGGATTCTCATCATTTCGTTCACCTTCCGGCTATGAGGCAGCTCATAAATGCGTCCAACTTACTTCATTCATCCTGCATCATGGGAAACTAGCAAGTATGGAATCGCCAATATCACAGGATGAAGTTCGGCTGGCAGTGGATGATACAGCCTTGCTGTCCACTTACGAGGCCGTGCGTGGCCAAGTACGGGCTGCCATTTTTGCAGAAACTTCCTCTCCACCCAAAGACAGCTCGCTACTCAAGACGGCCTTTTGCTCGGAAACATGGCCCAGTCTACATTCAGGTTATGAGAAACTGGTAAATGAGATCGTGCGCTACTTCCGCACCGAGCTTGGGAAGAGAAAGTTCGACTGTCTAGTTCTGGGCAGGGTGAAGTCTGCCGAATCCGTGCAGAAATCGCTTGATCGTCGCGAGCAATATCGCGGAAAGTCCTATTCCGGCCTCGAGGACATATTTGGAACGATGCATGATCTTGCAGGTTCTCTCGTTATAGTGCAGTACGCAAGAGACATTGAAACAGTGAATAGCCTTATCTCACAGAGCTTTCGAGCAACCAAGCCTCCTACCCATTGGCCCTGCGAACGCCAGCCCGGCGAGCTTTGGGATTCACAATTTGGAAGCTACGAGTCCCACAACCATCACGTGACATTGGGAATGATGTCTGGCTCCTCTACCATCACTTTTGAAGTCCAGGTTACAACCTGCTCAGACTTTATGTACAACAGGATTGCACACGACTGGTTCTACAAAAAGGACCGTGGATCAATGTCTCGAAAAGATGAGATGGTTATGGACATGCTTCATGGTGCAGCTGCCGTTTTTGGTATTGGCGCATAATACATGAAGGAGAGAGAGCAAGAGAATAGCGCCGAGTCCAAGGACCAATTCGACTTGATTCAGGCAACAAAGCTCGCACATGGCGTTGAGGAGTGGCAGCTCCAATTCGAGATTATGAATTCTCCTTCACACCAGTTGAAAGGTTCTGATTCGCGTACCTTCAAAGAAAATGCAGGTTTCTCCAAGACACTCACAACATTCGCTAGCGTAGCTAGCCTCCTGGATGAAGCTGGCAAGACATCCATAACCCTTCTCAATACCATTCAGACCTGGAATGACTGTCCCTCGGCGTTGCTAGCCCTAAATAATGAGGTTTCTGAAGTGAGACTTATACTTCACCAGCTGGGCATTACTCACAAAAGTCCAAAGGCTAGGCTGGGACTTTTCGACAAGGGCCTTATGCCAGCCATCGAACGATATGTTAAGACGACAGCAGTACATTTGAAGCTACTTAACACACTACTTGACGAGCTTCAAGAATCACAAGCCTTCAGAGATAAACTGAAACTGCTCTCGGGGGATGGCAATGTTCATCGACTGCAGACAGCTCTCAGAAAGGACCGTCACAAAATCAACGACTTGCTCCTTTTTCACAACATGTAAGTCCAATATACTTAAAAGGCCTTGATTTATTGTGTGAATCGCCCTAATCTTGCGCTAGGACAAACACAACCAAAACAGAGGTCGAATTAGAATCCGTTGGGTGCATTATCGATGAACGACAGTACAAGCATAATAGCTCCTCCGCCCTTTCCGGTAAAGAGTTCCATGAATTGCAGGAGCAGTCCTTGGTGACCAGAGAGCTAGTTGCACCAAGCCAAGATGGAAATGTCAGACGGGAACCTAGATCAATTAGTCGACCTGTCTCGGGAGACCAATTTTCGGGAGCAATAAGACATGTCGAGCACGATGAAACGCAGGAATCGCGCCCAGGAGCCAGCAATCTTTATGTCACCCGGAAGGGAAATCGTAGGGCCTCTGGTTCTAGCAAAGTTCAGCCTAATTTGACACGCCGCGCCGATAGGCTTCCAGATTTGCACGATACAACTGATCTCAAGGCTCTTGAGGCAAAAGTTTGGGAAGTTTTGTTTCAATCAACAAACCACGTTTCTAGCCAGGCATGTGCTTTCGCTGTGCATAGCCAACCCTCAAACTGCGCTGACAAATGCCCCTGTTCCTGTCACCGCCGGAGACCACTCGAATCGAGGTTTTCACTTCCACCCTTGCTGAGGAATATCTGCGGGACCTTGTTCGGAGGATACAAAGGTGATCCTATTGTATCATCACGATGCGATCGGAGCCAATGCCTTCGACAGGGCCACATGCGACTCCGTCTGACATATCTCTTCCCGAGCTGGTTCCTCCGACGTGTTTTACACACATTTATCAACTGGTCGCAGGGAAGTATCACAGTTAGCCTGAAAACATGCGACATACGTGCATCTGAGTCTTTTGCCGCGTTCAAGTCCGCACACGAGGGAAATCTGCAAGTACTGGAACAATGTCTGAGAGATGACCCAGCAGGCGTAAATGCCTGGGCTGTAAACGGATCTGCTCCTTTGCATGCTGCTATCTACGTGGGTTGGGTGCAAGGAGTAGAGACTCTTCTCAAATATGGCGCGGACGCATATTTGGAAGGTCCAGGAAACCCTTCAGCAATCTCAAAAGCTTCGCAGCTGATATTGTGCGAAAGGCTCTCTCCAAGTATTTGCTGCAGGCTTGTCGAGTTGCTTCCGGTCTCTTCCTACGTCAAGGACTTAGATCTAAGCTTCCTTGCCAAAGTAGTCATAGGCATATGTCCGATCAGCCTCGAGTCAATTCTCCAGAGCCACGATCCATTGATCCTTGCACAACTTGATAGTTTGGACGAAAGTGGGAGGACACCACTTCACTGGGCAGCAGCACGAAATGATGCCGTCGCTTCTCGCATTTTAATCCAAGCCGGTGCAAACGTTAATATACGTACAGCCTTGGAGAACTATACACCGTTGACAGAGGCAATCCGATGCAGTCCAGCAGACACGACAATTTTGGTTGACACATTGATTGATGCCGGAGCTGATATCAACGCGGTTGACAGTTACAAGCTGACTCCATTGACTACGGCCTGTTTTACAGGTAATCTGTCTATCGTTCGCAAGTTGAGAGAGGCAGGCGGCGGAATTGATGCGCCAAACCCGGGGATTTGTGCTGAAGCTCCGGTGACAATTGCTATTTATAACAATCGGCCAAAGATCCTGAAATACCTCATTCAGGAGGGCGCTGATATTAACCAGACCAATCCATTATTGCACAAGACGCCTCTTACGATGGCGATAGCAACGAATACTCACGAGTGTTTCCGAATACTACTTGCGCATGGAGCAGACTATTTGCAAGTAGATGATCAAGGAGAAACAATCCTACACTATCTAGCACGAATGGGGCATGAAGAAACGATACGCATATCGAAGGAACATGGTTTGGCTGGTTTGGATCTGACCATGCGCAACTCATCGAGGCAGACAGCTCTGGAAGTCCATCAATTGTACGGATCCAAGGATCCTATCGTCAGCCAAGCGTTTCAAGAATTGCTTTCGACGATGGATAATACGAGTAGCGGGGAGTCGAGCAGCGATGAAGACGCCATATTCTATGACGTCACTGAGGAGTTATGAAGTAGACCTCTTGTTGTCATTATTCAACCAAGATTCAATGATACTAATGCGCATTCATTAATGAAACCATTATGCTTTCAGGAATGGTATGCTTGCCAGTGATCTTCGCAGCAGTCAAGGCCTGGTTAATGATCCTGAGTGGGGAGATGATTGGCCCATTCCTGCTTAGGACGACGGCAGCTGGAAGTCTAGGGCGGTTGCGCGTTATATATACCGTACGCAAGTTAGATTTCATTGCGCGCTCACGCCCGCTAGCACCTCTACATAGATAGTAGGTAGGTATATAGCAGACCAATGTGTGAACTAGTCTGTCAATTATACACACTTCACAATCTTAGCTCTTAGGCATCTCTCTTTCATGGTTCGATATGATCAAATAGGATCAAAAAGTTATTATGTAATTCTCACGAAATCTATTGCGCCGTACCATATAACCACTATTAGGCTAGTCCCTAGTGTGGGGCTTGACATTTTGTTCAGCTAGTGCAGTGGTTTGGTGCGTCAAGATCGTTAGCTGGCTGTGGTCTGTTCAAGCACACGTTGTGCAAAGACCCTCTGATTTGACGTCCCATTGGGAAAACGGGTTGTGCAATAGACGCATGATAAAGTACAAATCGCCCGCATTATATACCTCGTTGACATGCAGCGTCGCCGAATGGGACCCTTGCTACGAGGAGTATCTCGATACCAGTACCTATTACGAGTCCTTGCGCACCCCACCTCTCAGGTACACGTAGTCCAGATCCTAATTTAAGCAAAGCTTTGCTAATAGCAAATTCATTTTATATTACTATGTGACTTAACGAAGCCTTGCTTGATTAACGCAGACATCTTTCTACGCTCCTTCGATCATATCTTCCACTTCACACGTTAGCTCGGGTGAGAAATCTAGCGCATACGCCACCCACCCCCACCAGGCTCGCTGGCTGGCAGCAGCTGGGGTGGAGCAAGATAGTGGTCGTTAGGTGCTCCACGCCCAGCTGATCATGTGTGGCCTGCTGGGCTGGTGTCGCGGCCGTGAAGACGGTGGAATTCACCACCATACAATCGACCTGTTGCATTGGCATACGGTTTTGCGCGACAATGGGTTCTCTAGTGTGATTTGGAAAACATAAGATTGGAAACACTTGATTATAAAAAGGTTGGCGGGTACTGATTACAAATGTAGATACAAAACGCGGTTTGTCAATAGCCGAATGCGAGGGCATACGGTGAGAAGAACGCATTTGTCTAGTGCTATCGCTGCAAGGGAATAGCTATGTCACCACATACCCGCGTACATTAATCTCCATTCTTGCCGGCGAGCGACTTCCTCTGCGAGACCTAAGGTTTTTTTTCTTCTTTCTCATCACAAATACCCACCCAGGCAAGGCATATGAGATTCTTTTTCTTATTCAACATACAATGCTCTCTTTGGCAAATTGACAAGGCCAAACACAACGTCAGTTAAATTTTACTCCTGAGGGCCAAATAGCTCAAGAACCCAACCCCCAACGCCATCCACCACCCCGATACAGTGAAAGCACCACCCATATCCCCGCGTGCAAGTGACCATGCGATTCCGAATGCAGAACTAGATAATGAGAAAAACAATACCAATACGTGAATTGTACGCCAATGCCATCCTACCTCGAAATGAACACCCCACCCGTATTCAATTTGATCATCGGAAGCCGACAATTCTCCATCTTGTTTCTTGGGCAGTTGCGATAGGATTGTCCTTTGATTGTCCTCGGCAGGACGTGGGCAGTTGAAATTATGAGTCAAGTACCTCGATCCGATCGGAGGTTTTGGCGTGCTCTCCGAGGGCAAATCACAATCATATGGCTTTTCATGACCTATCTGATCCTCCGGTGGTAGACAAGTGCATCCCGAATGGCAGTGCTCCACATGTGCGTAGGTTTCCGCATCATTGCGCGAATCAACTCTGAACTAGGAGGCAATTTAGTAATTATCGTTTGTTAAATAGAATTAATACTTACTTTCCGTAAATGCAAGGAGTTTAGACTTTTCAGGGTGAACCACCTCATCGGGCTTTGGTGCTCGTTGTATGCTTTGTGTAGGCGTTCAAATAGGCTACCATCCTTTGTGATACCTTGTATGTCTAAATGGAGCAGCTTCGTCGCGAGTTCCCCATCATCCACACACAATAGTAGATAAAGCTCATCCGGAGTGGCTGGAGGTCTTTGCTCTTGACTGGCGCTTTCAGCATAGACCGGAAGCTCGTGATCATTGTGATCACGCGTTTTCTGTCCTCGACGAATGTTGGTCAATATGAACCTCCACGCTTCATGTGCTAATTGACCAATAAGGACTTTGCATCTGAAAAGTGCACCATTGGGGCTCGAATCATTATCCTGAAGTTCCGTTGGGGGGTCGTTCAGAGCGGTAGGAGCCGGTATCTCGAAGTCGTCAAACAATTTTATACCGCAGTGATCCTATATTGTTATTAGAGTGTGACTTGTACCGATATCAAAATAACGTACGCAAGTCCATCTGACGCGTTGCATCCCTTGAGGCAATGGAGGTTCATTGTAATAAGAAAGCCCCAATGCCTCGAAGATCTTGTCGACTAGCGACGGAAGGTTGGGAAAGGCATCTATCTTTGTTAGCTTGCCAAATCATGATGCAAAGGTCTCACTTACTTCTCTCACTTTGATCTGCAGCGATGACCGTGTCATTTGGTTGTTCAGGCTCAGCGGTGGATTGTTCTGTAATTGTTTCCACCAGTGGTCGTGGTTCAAGGAGCAGCTCACATATCTCCGCATGACCCTCTTGTGAAGCCACTTGGAGAGCTGTTTGGCCACTCTCCGTCCTGGCATTTATATCGGCACCATTTGCCAGAAGCAGCTTGACGATCTCCGTACGGCCCCACTTTGAAGCCAGATAGAGAGCTGTTTGATCATCCTTACTCCTGATATCCACATCGGCACCTTTTGCTAGGAGCAGCTCAACGATTGCCGTATAACCGAAAATTGAAGCCGAATGGAGAGCTGTAGTATTGATCCAATTCCCGATATTCGGATTGGCGCCTTTTTCCAGGAGCAGCTTAGCGGTCTCCGCATGACCAAAAAATAAAGCTTTGTGGCAAGCTGTTTCGCCGAGCTTATCTATGGCATTCAAAT